AAGAAATATTGCTATGGTTTGGAGTTCAAAAATCTCCCACAGTTCATAGGTTGAGGATAGCAGTTATCAGAAGTGGGGCTTTTGAGAAGTGAGAGAATCATGAGGGTTCCATCCCAAGAACACATTTTTGCACTTGTGGACTCATGACATGATGGGCCATTGGAAAGTGAAGTAAACTTTAGGAAATGAGCCCTAATAGCAGGAGGGAGATTATGGGTGGGAATCCTTGAGGGGGTGTATTTTGGCCCCTGTCCCTTTTTGCTTTATGGCCACCAAGAGGCAAGCAACTTTGCTGCAACAAGCTCCCTGCTATGATCGTCTGTCTCAGCACAGTCCAGCTGCCATGGATGAAAATCTCTGAAATTGAGCCAGAATACATCTTTCTTCCTTTAGGATGATTTTCTCTGGTACTACATCACAGCACTAGAACACTAACACAAATATTAACAATATTAAATATAATAACTTCTTGTGAATTATGACTAGACTGTAACCTTAACTCTGTTATAACAGTGTTAAGAGTTAACTTCTAAAACGTCTATGCTGGAAAATGAATGAGGTAGGCCGGGGATTTAGCTCAGCAGCTCAAGTGCTTGCCTGCTAAGTGTGACGTTGTGAGTTAAATCTCCGATACAAAAGGAAGGAAGGACGGAAGGAAGGACGGAAGGACGGAAGGACGGAAGGAAGGACAGAAGGAAGGAAGGAAGGAAGGAAGGAAGGAAGGAAGGAAGGAAAGAAAGAAAGAAAGAAAGAAAGAGAGAAATGAATGAGGTAACCCATCTCAAGAAGATAGAAACCAGAAAAAAATCATAAAAATGTAAATAATATTTTAAGAGAATGAATGAATGAAAATCAAACACAAAATAGAATTGATAAAACTAAAATTTAAATCTTAGGAAAGACTAAATTGTCTCTACTTGGAGTTAGTCACACAGAAAATGCCTAACAAATAATTTATAAAACTGATTAGTTTCGTAAGTTTCCAGATGCAAAAGCAATATGAAGAAATCATCTGTATTCATCATCAATAGTTAGGAAATAATGTGGACTATATCATTTGGATTAACATTCTAGTTAGACAACTTTAGAAAAGTTGGACAAAATAGAATTTTTAAATACAAAAGAAAGCATCAGAAAGCTGATATTAGTGAATAAATTACCAGGTTAATATGTGTGAGAAGACTAATTGAGAACAGTAAATCTTTATCTTTCTTTTGTGAGCACTGCCTGCTGGCATCTTTACAAATAAGATCTACGACAAGCCACTGAGAAGAGGCACAGAGCTACGAGCTAAGGATTAAAAGATGGTCCAGGATTGACAAGGGCTAAGGACTCGGGTAACCCAGACCCACACTCTGGAACCTGAGAGGTGAACATTAAAGAGTAGGAAAAAGTAAGAGACTAAGAGTCTAACTCAGCTTTGAAGTTCCAAAAAACCTCAGGCTCTAACATTAGTCAAAGTTATCCTGAGTTACAATAACAAGGTACCTGGCAAAAAACAAATGAGAAAACTGCAGGATGAAAATAACATCCTAGCCATCAAATTATTTGGACTGGTTTTCAAATATTGACAAGTAAGCAAACATAATGAGACACACAGGAGGCACAACAGTAAGAATAAGGAATACAAGGGATAAAAGACAAAAATGAACTCACAAGAGGGTTTCAGACTCTGGAATTATTAGATTTAGACTAGTGAATAAGACATTAAAATTTTAGTGTGACACCAGGAAACTGCAAAGTTGACAGGTTTGCATGTTTCCTATTAGAAATGTGAGAACTGAAGATACAAAGTACTAAGAATAACCAAGACACAGACCAGTAAGTTGAGAGGAACTGTTTTGGTCATGGTCAAAAATACACGCCAACTATGGTGATAAAAGCAGTATACTAGCACAGCAACAGAAAAGAAAAGGAACCAAAACTCAAAGTCTTCTATGGATATATTCCTGTGTCATTTGGTGGCATCACAGAAAAAAGAGAAAACAACAGACTTTTCAGTGAATTGTGGAGAGGCATTATTCATCATTTACAAAATTAACTTCTCATGAATTAAAAATAAGTATAAAAAACAAAACCAAAGTTCTCTGAAGACAACAGAGTATCTTCATGATCATCAGGCATATAGAAAGTGATTTTTTTTTAACAATTCAAACGTTTATCTTTCATAAATCAATGAGGAAAGACTGCCAACACAAAAGTATGAAATGAACTGACAAGACACTTTACAAAAAACAAGGTCAAAATTAGTAAATTTATGAAAAAGTGCTCAAATTCTATACTCAAAATCAAATACTAGTGTAATTAGGAAAGTTCAAGAATAAAATTTCAATTAGCTACAACTGTACATCTACCCGATTAGCAAAAAAAAAAAAAAAAAAAAAAAAACCCAACCCCCAAAACAACAAAAAAACCTCTGTTAATACCAGTATTAATCATAACAAAAGAGAGTCTAGAAGTTAGGAAAATTTCTGTAGTTTTGTCATAAAAGTTAAGATATGAAAAACCAAGCAACCTGCAAAACAGCAATTCTACTCATAGAAGAATTATTTGCCATAGCAAATACAAAAACAACATTCATGCAGCTCATTGTCTCAAACTAAAAACACCCCCTTCAATTACAATATAATGCATAAACTGTGGTATGTTTAATGCAAGGGTGAATTCCATAGCAATGATGAGGAAAAAGTGTAGCTACAGTCAGTATGGAAAAACCTACATGCTCAATGCAAGAAGCCACAAAAGGTGGCAGTGAGAGTCTTTTATTTTACATAAAGTCCAGAAACCAGTGGAAATAAACTGCCTTGTTCAGGTTTACACCTGAACACAGTAGTCACAGAAAGTGGAATACTGGTAATCACCGAAGGGTGTGAGAAAGCTGCTATGAGGGGAAGGAGCTATGGTGAGTCTGCGAGCTGCTATCTGTATTTCATCAGTGTGTTGGTTATGTAAACAGTCACTTTAAAAGTATTCCTTAAACTGTCTGTTTGTATTTTATATACTGACTTGCATGTATTTTTTGAACATGTATCTCATCAATTAAAAAATCTTTTAAGAGAACAAAAACTACTTCTGATATTCACTCTGATCCCCAAGATCTCAAGTTCCTCATTTCTGTATTGAATCTGTTCAAGTAAAATAGTTATCTAGTAACTATATATAAACTAGGTACTTTTAGTCACAATGAATGTTAGGAACAGTAAGAGAAATTTTTCCTCCAAGATTTCAAGAGAATAATTTACTGTCTCTGTTCATTTTACTAATTTTAAACTGTAGATTAAAATAAAAACTTGATTTTTCAAAATTTCTGACACTGTCATTACCAAAATGCACTATCACACATAACATAAAAATACAGATACTATTCTGTAAATTCTACCTTTGAGATGATTTAAGAAGGACTTATAGTCAAGTAATATTACTGGTTGGATCTCTTAAAGGAATGGATTTCAGGAATCCCCAGCTTATAGTCTGGAATTGACCAGATGGTGACAACTATTTCTTTCTGCTTTGTTGACATGACTGAATGAGGGTGGTGACTAACAGAGGGCCTCATTCACGCTCTGTACCTTCCCAACACTGAGCACATTCTTCACCTCTCCCTAGCCACAGGCTCTGTGAAGTACTAACATCTCTCCACGAAGAAAATGAAGAATAGGAAACATCAAAGGAACACTATCCATATAGTAAATGCCAGAATCAGAATCTTTGAAGCAAACTTTAGAATATGCTTTATAAAGATATTCTCAAATTTCATTTATTTCAAAGTAAAAGATGACTCAATGGAAGTGTGCAAAATTTTTGCACCTGGTATTTTAAGCAGCAACATTGATTTCATGGTCCTGAGATAAACAATGAGAAAAAGATGTCATTAACTTATTCCAGTTTTCCAGCTTAGTAGAACTGATTAGAAGAAAAGATAGTAGTAAATCATTTCTATAGAAGATAATGAACTGAATCCCCGTTGATTTTATTACTTGATACATGCCAAAATACTGATTCCCATAAATATGAACTGACAGGCTGGATCTAAATTTACTTCAAAAAGATGTGTATGTTTAGCTGAAATATAAGCACTACTAGACAGTACCTGAGTACTGCTGAATGACCACCTTCTCAGTTACTATCAAAGAACATGATACGAAGTGAAAGTGGAAAGTGGTTTCTTAACTCTAAAGTCTTTTTTATTCCTATCCTCTAATACTCTAAGAGCCTTGCTATTTCTGGATCCAATTTTAGGTACTGTTAAGTTTTGGTATTAGAGGGGGCTGGGGATTTAGCTCAGCGGCATAAGCACCTGCCTTGTAAGCAGGCAGTCGTGAGTTCGATCCCCGGTACCGATAAAAAAGAAAACGACAAAAAAAAAAAAAAAAAAGTTTTGGTATTAGAATATACTCAATGGGAGAGGATAAAATACAGGGATCAAAAATTAATTTATTTCAAAGGTAGCTATTTTCATAAAACTCATCCTGTTTATCTTCTCCCATCTCTCAATGAGCAGATTATCCTTCAGTTCCTAAAATTATGCCCTATTCTTCCAACTGGAAGATATTTTTTCAAAGGAAGGAAGCAAACTGCTCTGTTGAAAAAAAATTTAGACTATTTGTCAGTGGAAAAGGAAGTAAATACAAAATATAAAGAGCAAACTGGAGCAAATCCACTTATCAAGTACCCAGGAACACTCTAGACAGGAAGGAGAGCAGGAGAGGAGCTGCAGAGAAAGACTTTCTGAGCTTATGAAATGCCAAATGCTTTCAAAAGCAAGGTAACCTTAGTAATAAAAGAATCCCTTGTTGTCCTCACTGAATTCAGTGTTGAGTATGGTTCACAACATTTTAATGAAAGCACTTATACCCGCAATAGTTCATATTAGGAAACAGAAAGTTTCTTTCAATAAAGACCTAAACAGAACTTGTTATCTTTTTCAGTTTCCTTTCTGGGAATAAAACAATATACTCTCCTTAGATTGCTGGAAGAAATAAAAAAAATCAAGACTCTACTAGTGATGATATTTTTAATTTTTAGTTTTCATATATTTCTGAAGACACTCCCTTTACAAAACCTCTAGCCTTATATGAGATCACAATCTCTTAAGTTCCAAATAAATTAAATATCCACATCAGAAGGCATATTCAAATGATTAGCCACATTATCTTTTCACATTCTTGGATTTTCTAGAATGATCTGTCTGAGTCCATATAATACTGTTAACAGTTCAAATTGATGTGTATCATCTGATTTGCTCATGGCTTACAACACTGACGATATTTTTTTTTAAAATTCTGATTTGGGAGAAGATATAATAAACTCTTTAAACTAGCAGAGGACAGTAAGGTGTACACAATTTAAAATCCCTACTCTTCCCCTATTATTATCATCTCTCTCCTCACATTGACATTAAATTTTTAAAGCCTAACCACATGAAAGACACAAGGTGCTGAACAACATTTGTATTGAAAAATGGGTCTCAAATACCAAACAAAACGAAATTTACAAAGTGGAATTAAATTGTTTGGATAGCTGCATTCTTTACTTTCAATTTCTTCATATTTTTCTTTTTGTTACAGATAAATATTTTATTTTCTTCCAGACAGCTTAATACACAAATTTGTTGTACTATAAAATGATATTCCAATTAAAAGTTGCTTGCTATCACAGTCATGTGTGAAGCATCAGATAAGTTTATATTATGTTCCAAAATGCTTTCTACTTATTTAATATAGTTTCTTACAGATTTTTCCTTAAATTAAGGCTTCTTCAAAGAGAAATCCACAGTATTAGGAGCTGATTTTTTTAAGCTTTTGAATTGGGTGCACTCTTTATAGAACCATGTAGTTGTGGAGTAACTTTAAGATCACCTTTATTTGGTATCGGGACTGAAGAAGTATCTCACTGGAGGTCCTGGCAAATCTTCATCTCCATCAGTGTCTGGGGCAAATGACACAGTAAGATCTACATATTTTTTTTCAGTAGAAGGTTTCACAAGTTTATGCATCCTAAGATAAAAAAGCAAGAATAACAAATTGATAATTCTATTAATTTAAAGAATGATTTTTTAATACTATTCAGAATATTTAGACTTGTATCTATTCTTTACTTTAAGCTCAAATCCATCTGCTCTTATAAATGCATTTTATTTGAAAGCTCTAAATTCAAGACATTCATTTACTTGAAGAGTGACTTACTCTGGACCACTGCTACTAATAATAAAAGATAGTGACCACCTGTTCTGACTCTAAATGTCAACAATGAATTTGAAAATTCAATTCTTTTCCTATTCAGAGTATAAAGCTCAGAGGCAACATAGATAGGTTCTTTACCATTTTTTTGTAAAGAGTAAAAAAACCAAATTAGATTAGAAATCTTAAAATGCAAGCTGCCTCCAGTCTCTACTGTCCCAACAAAGCTGCTGTTCCAATTTTCTTAAGGTGTAAGGGATGTTATTCTAATCTATAAGATTAGAATAGATTAGATTAGAATAGATTAGATTAGATTAGAATCTATTAATCTATTCTGTCTAATGTGATGGAACATAAATACTAACTTCATCCTAGGATCTGAACTATGTAATTTTTAAAATCCTCTATAATGGTCCTTTCCATTTTATAAAGATTTTTTTTGCATACATAATTTTGCATTCTTTCCATTATTCAATGACATTATTCAATGATCTTTGAGATGATTACAAAACATCTCACTTTATAAGCACCCATATATGATCTCTCCCAGTTACGAGTGGTTCCACAAACAGCTGCTTTTGACAGAAATCCCTTCATTGAAAGTAGGGTAAGTAAAATCTACTCAGAACCACAGGTTTGAGTTTGTGGTGCCTATCATGCACTGTAAAAATATTATAACGAGCCAATTTCATTTAATTAATGACTAACATTAATTTCCCTTAATAAGTTCAATCACTTGTATCTTTTGACAGGAAATTCAAAAGCTACTCAGTGACAGAACGAGTAGCTGTGCAAGCACAAGAATCCATTTTTAAGTCAGCGCATGTTCTTAACTAAAACATCATGGCTACCTGAGGCTTTCAATCACTTTACAGGTATTTAAAAAATACCACGTTAGAGATGGGTCTGCTTTTATTTAGTTTCTGAGTGTCTATCAAGTTTCTAAGCCTGTTCCCTAAAGACATGATTGTAAATTTATAAGGGTATTATTGTAATCCTGAGATACTCCTTAAAAAGCAGCCCACTGGCCTTTTCTTCTCTGGCAGATTTGCTGTCTTAACTAACATCATCACATAACAGTAATGCTGTTACCTAAATTTCATTTCCTCTATATTTAATTTTCTAGTGTGTAACTACTTATGTTTTGATTCTTTTGCATATAATGGGTGAAACTACTTACGTTAACTTTAATCTTTTTGCGTGACCAGGCATTACAGGAACATAAAGCATTTTGACTCCCTGAACTACCATTGTTGGCTCAATTCCATACTTTTCCTAAAATGAATATTTGAAAGAAAAACAATCAAAATCTCACCCAAATGTAAAATGCTTGGGTAAAAATGCTTTATGACCATTCCATAAAGCATTGAAAAAGTGAACAAATTCATGAAAAGAGCACAAATTTCTGCTAAATACTACATTTTACTTCCAATAAAGTTATGGGTAAAAACTATAGTAGTCCCTCTTTATCCATGGCTTCACTTTAGAGTCACAGTATGAAAATATTAAATGGAAAATTTCAGAAATAAACAATTCATGTTTTAAACTGTGCCACCCTGAGCAATGGGGATGAAATCACAAGCTGTTTCCTCTAACCCCAGGCTCAGCACACCCATGCTGCCTCTCACCAAGAACGCTGCAGATGCCTCGTCATGACTGCCTGCTGCAGTCAGTGTCCATGTAACCCTTACTTTACTGAACAATGAATGGCTCCAGAGTTCAAAAGCTCTGACACTGGCAATTTAGACATTGTACAGCTGTAGAGTGTTTCTTTTAAGTGAAAAAATGACAATTCTCAGCTTCATGGGGAAAGAAATCTACTAAGATCTACTCTACAATAAGTTATTCTTAGATTTTACTACCATTATTGCTGCAATTATTGTTTTATTGTGATCATTGTTAACAACTATTCCTAATCTGTAATTAAGCATATGTATGTGTGTAGAGGAGAAAAATCATGGAGGGTCACAGGGTCAGGGTTATTTGTAGTTTCAGGCATTCTCTAGGGGCCTTGGAATATAACCCTAGCAAATAAGGAGGGACTACTATAAACAGAAACCACTCAAAACCCCTGACAAGCCAAATGCATAAATATGTCCTTACCTTGACTGCATTTATGAAATCCGAGAGGGTGAAATCTTCTTTTCCATGTATAGTCCATCTATCCCAAATTGTAAATGATATTCCATTTCTGTTGTAGAAAATATTCAGGAAAACACTTAATTCTTCCCTTTAGGAAAAGAATAAAAAACTGCCCAAAACCCATAATTTGTGAGTTAAAAATTAAAGTGAGAAAAAGAAACATACAACTTGTAAAATATTCCACAGCCTCTTATCTCCATAGCGCATAATGACTTTGATCTAGCCTTCAGGATTCCTTATGACCCAGCTACCTGAGACAGCCCTCTGCTGTCCTCTCTCTGTAAACAGCTTGCTAGAGGTGTTCACTGGGTGGATGATCCAGTCTACTATTACTGGTTATCTGGGTGTTTCCAATCACTGGCTATTATAAACAATGTCAGAATGCTTACCTGGCATGAATATAATCTGAGATGTGTACAAGATATTTACAAATTTGAAGTATAGTGCCATAGTTCCCCTACTATGAATTATTCTCTTTTGCACTCATGGTAGTAACGTATAAATGTCTGATTTCTCATATTCCTGTCAGGTAATTTCTTTGCTCAAGTTTTTGGTTGCTGTCAAACTGAAAAGTGAAAATGGAGTCCCAGGGAGTTATCTTCCTTTGTCTTAGCTTGCAGAATTAGATCCTAAATGCCATAATCCCAGATACCACGGTGCCTTCTGATTTTTCAGATTACAGATACAGATGAATGCATGCAGTATAATGCTACATTGTGCAACAGATCAAATGTGAGAACTCTTTAGCTTATTTAGACAGAACTGCTTCATGAAGATGAGGTTCATAGTCTTGAATTGATGACAAGGATTTACATACACAGAAGAAAAGAGGTGACACTAATATTTATCCCTTTTAAAAAGTGAAGCATCTCATTCTCATTAGCAAGAGAAACAGACCCAGTTTCACACCTGATTTCAGTTTTTCTTACTTCAGAAGTCTCTGTAAACACTATAATTGGAATGGCTAAGTTAAGAAAACAGTTTTTGTAAGCTTCAAATGGAAAGCCACCAGTTATTTTGATCATCTCCAAAGTGACCTAGGTAAAAGAAAGTCATCTGGTTACATAAATAGCTTATAATTATTCAACAATCAGATCTTTACAGTTTTCAAAAGTTGTTCCCTAGTATTTGTCTGAAATAGTGAAAGTAGGTATAAGATTAAAAATATTTCTTTTATAAGTCTCTGCATTTTTAATATCTTACTTTCAAACTATTTCACACAATGGAAGTGCAGTTATTCAAAAACGGTAAATTTGACCATGTAGTCTTGCTACTGTAGCCAAAACTTAATTATGAATTACTATAAATTTAAAGCAATTCTTTTTATACAAGAAAAATAGTATTTGCTTCCTATGGGGATACTGAGATTATCGCCTATAAAAAGTTTCACTCAACAAGTACATTTTTATGTTCAAATGTTTACATACATAAAAATCTCAAAATAAACTCGTATTTTCAGAAGTAACTTGAAATGTTAGATTTTATGATCCACTATTTTTCCCTGATCTCTAATGGATTAATTGGGGCTGATATGATGCAGAAAACAGGCAGTGAAAAGGAACATTTTAATTCAAAGAATAAGCTTACCAAGCCAGAAACTGCAGCAGTGGATGTTGCTATGGCAGGTATGATTTTGCCAGCTATGCGCTTTGTTTTGAAACGGTCAGCTGGTTCAATGTTATACATTCTGGCACGGAGATTGGACGCAGCTGTGATGAAATCTATGTGTCCATTACTGTCATCGTCCTTCTCAAAGGAAAGCACTGCCATCTGAAGGTCACCTGATCATGCAACCAGAATAACAAAGGTCCCTAGTAAGCGGTGAAGGTTCTGCTAGATAAAAAGCAATGTGGGATCATATTCTCAAAGACTCCCTTTATTTTTTTAAGCAACTGAAAAATACTCTGAAAATCCACGCAATTAAAATTAGAGAACGTTGTAGAAATGATGGTTTTAGTATCAACAAATTACAAAAGTTTTAATATTAAAAATAAACTTATAGTAAATAGCAAAATGAGAAAATTATGGACTATATACCTGCTGCCAAGTAGTTTATAATTAAAAAGTCAGTATTTGCTCCTGACTGAAACATATCTTTTTTGCTACTGGAGATCGAATAGCACTTGCCAGGCAAGTGCTTGTGCTACTGAGCTAAATCCTTGGCCCCAGAAATGTATCTTTTTGAAAGATTTCTAGATCAATCACCTTCAAAATCAGTGTAATGTTTATTACTGTAAAATTATTTTTCTTGAAATTTTACCAGACCACGTATGAAATCCCAAAAGACTGGAAACCACTGATTCATATAACAAAAAATGGTGAACAAATGGCATTCAATTTTACTATACTTTGACATCTTAAGATCCCTTAGCATGGATGTACTTAGGTAAGTTTGCATTCTGTCAGTAACTATGGAGCATAAGAACCTAAGAAGAGTTCTGTACGACTGTTTAACCTAAAGTGATCTGAATCAGTCTGTCTAAAGATCAGTTTCCACAAAGACTCCAATAACTTGAAATAATAATTTCACAAAAACAGAGCTATTTGCTTATGTTTTTAGATCTGCTCACCACTTGTAAGACTAAAACAATCAGAAACGCCATAACGAAATAGTTATGTGTTTTAGAAAATTAGATTTCATGGGGAAAATGATGAATTTAGTCAAAAAGATGAACAGTAATTTTCATATGATCATGGCATCAACTTGTATTATTATTTTTATGCAATCTCACCAACTTTTTAGTGTGTAGTTTAGTGGAAATGAAAGTCCATCAAACTCAAAGCAGTTCAGTAAAGACAGTGCCTTACTTCTGGTGGCTTCATGAGATGCAATCGCCTTCTCCAGTAGGAAAGCAGCATTCCTCTCATCTTCACTGCTAACAGGAGCATGATCTGGTTTCCGTGCAGTTTCGTCTGTTTGAACAACCTTTAAATATAGTATGTGTATTTATTAATGCTGCCACAAACCACATTTAACTTTAGTTACCATTTGTTAAAAAGAAAATATTTCTTGCATATATTTTACACAGTTTATTAATCATTACAATCCAATATATTTTATATCTCTCCTTAGTAAGCAGTATTATCTATGTGTTTATTATTTGTTGTTTCATATTGGCATGTAAACTGTAAAGAACAGGGTTCTCTATCTTGTTCAGTGAGACCGCCACTATGTCTAAAATAATCATTTTCACATTACATGTTAAAAATATTTATTGAATGGTTTATACAGATTTCTTAAAATTTCACAACAAAATGAAGTTCATGTTAAAATGAAGTTACTTCAATTTAAACTGCACCATTCTAATTACCACAGAGCTACTTTTGGTAGCAAAAGAAATTGAAATCTTTATAAATGCATCCCTTAAATACTGATTTTTGACAAGAAGTTCTTTCAAAAGAATGTGTTCTTTGATTAATAAATGTAACATGATTGAGGCTATACATATCACAAATAATTTAACCTTAAGAGATTATATGTTCATTGGATAGTCCATGAGAGAAGTCAATACTATCAACCAACAAACTAACTTTATCATTACTTATTAAAGTATTACTTATTTAAAATACACACCAACATCTTTTTCTTTTTCAGATTAAGCATTATATTTAAGATATATTAAGGATATATTAGGATACAGAAACTTTTTTTAGCTGGCATGTCTAACTGATATTTTTGGCTGTAAAATCTGTAACTATAAATGCTAGCTCTGGAACTTCAGGGTAGTAAGCAGCTTGAGGGAATTTCTTTTTTTTTTTTTAATTTAATTTTATGTTTTTATTTATTTATTTATTTTTAAATTTTATGTTTTTAAAGGTAGGGTCTTGCTAATTAGTTCAGACTGACCTTAAACTTAACTATGTAGTCCAGACTGGCCTTGAAATGACTCTCCTGCCTCAGGCTCCTGAGTGCTGGGATTACTGGTGTGTGTTACCATGTCCGGCTTTCAGGTAATTGTTTAAAAAGACCATAATTAATCTTAATAGCTAAACTGCTCAGCAAGTTTATTACCTCTGAACTTCGATATGAGAAGCGATATAAGTCAAAGTTAACACATTGAAGCAAGAGCAATAATGCTCAATAAAGTTACTGAAGTTACTGACTTCTAGAAGGTTTTGTCAACTGAAAATTTATCAAACTTATCTGTGTGAAATCAACTGCTTGTTAAGCCTATTTTCCCTAAAATAAAAATGTAAAATGGAAGTCTGCACACATCCTTTTTCCTTTAATCTTGTAGGGAGATGCCATTTCCCCTTTTCTTGTATAATGGAAGGGTAAAAGTAAGAGAAAGTTGCATAGAGGATCATTTTTAAACTGTGTAAAAGAGGAGCACATACTTAACTTGCAAAAAAGTAAAATATTTAATGTTTTTCAACTTTCATAAGTACACTGCCTACACATTTTATTTGGTCTTTATTAACACTCTGCATTTCTTCCTTTTTCCAAAATATCTGCTGAGCAAGATCCCGTCTTGGTTACAGTCTATTCAATTTCCCACTGATCTTGTACTGTGATCCCACCCAACCAACTAAATGTGGCTTGAAGTCATAGCTTTGTTCAGCAGAGTATACCAAGTGTGTTAATATTAGGGGGGGATCTCTGTGCTGCACTGCATTTTTGCTTTCAAGTAACTTTTCTACCCTTCTTCATAATTATTTTGGACATTCTTTGTTCTGCTCTAATTTTCTTACCTTATCTCCTTTACTCTGAGCTACTAAGCTTGCTTCCATTTTAATTAAGAAAGTAACAATTTGCCCTCTCACATTCCCATTTCAGTCTCGCAGAAACTCATAGGATTATCAAAGTGTATAGAGATTTAACCCTTCTCGTCACATCCCCGTCTTCTACTGTATCTCCTTCAAACACTACCTCTTTTGCCTGCATTCTTGTAGTAAATCCTGCTTTCTCTGTGCCCCATACACTCACTTTTAACAGCCAGTCCTCCTTTAAAACACAAGTCATATTGCATCACTTCTTAAAACTCTTCCCTAGCTTCTTATTTCACAGTAAAACACAATATAGTTATCTTAACGCACCAGTTCTTAACCTCACTACGTTTACTCTCTTCCAAGCACATTCTTCCCTAGAGAAGTCCACGCCTGTGCAGGCTCTCCTGGCATTTTCCTCTGCACTCACTCATTCTGCTTGGACTGCTGACATCTGCCTATCATATATCAGCACGACTCATCCCTCACTTCCTTCCAGTTTCTATTCAAGTGCTAACACTATCTGTGACATTTTCCCTTTTAATCGCATATAAAATGATACCAGTTCCAACATTCTTTTCCTTTTAACATTCTTAGCCCTTATGTCTTCATCAAAATATTATATATTTACTGCCATCAAAAAAAAAATCATCCTTCTCCATTCCATTCAAATATAACTTCCACAAGAACAAGAATTCTCAGCTGGGTGTGATGGAGCACATCTTTAATATCAGCACTCTCGAGGTTGAGGCAGAAGAACTGATGGAAATTCAAAGCCAGCCTGGGCTACAAACTGAGCTCAAAGCCAGCCTGAACTAAATAGAAAATCCATCTCAAAAAGAAAAAGAAAAAGAAAAAGAAAAAGAAAAAGAGAAAAAAAAAAAGAAAAAGAGAAAGAAAAAGAAAAAGAGAAAGAAAAAGAAAAAGAAAAAAGAATTCTCACTGTGGTATTCTCCAGGTTGAGAATGAAACCTGATACAAGAGAAAGTTCAGCAACCATTAACTAAATGAATGAATTTCTAAACTTACCTTATTGGATGGCTTGAATTCCTGAATCTTTACTTTTGAAAGAATATTCATGAGGGCAGCTACTGTTAAATCCTGTTTTAAAAAAAGTAACTTAATCAACAAACATACTGTTCTAATTCTGAATTCTAATGCTAAAACATCTGATGAAAGGTCCTTTGTCATTCCAAGGTATTTGAATATGTTGCAATATTTTGACTGTATCCATTTGCCTTTATTTCTTTAAAGTATCACCTATATCAGTAAAACAAACCTGAACTCTTACTTCTTTTTGCAAACTTTTGAAAGAGAACTATCTTTTGATTTCCTTACTTTCAGTGTTTTAGTTTCCCACACAATGTTATAATCCATAAATAAGTAAATGGAAGATATAACTTGAGAAGTAGGAAAATATTCAATTTTAAAATAAACTTAAAAGAACTGAAGGCTACTGGATCCACATTTGCTATTAAGAAGTTGTTTAGGCAAAACAGACATACTGCTGTTGGGGATAATTACCACTCTTACAATAGTTAGCATCTTCTACACCAAAGGTCACGCCAGACAGGAACTAGAGTGAATGCCAGTACTTTTACTATATATTTGCGCATCAATGTCAAAAGGATTACTTTACAACCGGTGTTTCTACCTGAATCTGAAAGAGCCTGCGTTAAGTAGGGAGATGGTTCATAATTTTCCATTTAGCCAGGCTGAAAGTAATTTATTCAACTCTAATATGCACTCATAGCCAAGTGTGGTGCTGCACATCTGTAATCCCAGGACTTGGGAGGCTGAAGCAGGAGTACTGATTGCTGTGAGTTCAAGGCTAATATGAACTGCACAGTGAAACCCTGTCTCAAAGACAAAATAATACTAAGCACTCATGAGGAAAGACTGACTAGTGTGTATTTGTCACTCAAAACCATCCTCAACCCTTCATACGTTATCAATGAAGTGTGAGTGTGCTGATATGGGAGAAAGATCAATACACAGGAGCATTTTTAGATTTCTGGGAAAGTATATAATGTCATATCACAAAAAAAATAAAAATGTTAACAATGACAATCTCTAGGAGTATTTTTAAGCTGCTATGAAATGGTTCACTATAGCTTTTTAGCGTAAGGATCACTGGAGCCGATAAACAGGTTATAAATATTTTAAAAAAGTATAATCGCATTAAAAATATGACTATTTAATTCAGAAAGAAAAATCCAACTTTTGCTTAATATTGCAATGACTGTTTACCTTCTGTTATATTAGACTGGGCAATAACAAAAACAAAACGAAACAAAATAAAAAAATCTAAAAAATTTACAGTAAATAGAATGACATCATAAAGACACGTTTTGATTCAATTAACTAATTCTAACCTGTTTTTGCATCAACTGCTGCAGTTTGAATAATATCTTACCTTTTCCACAAATGGGACGCTGTATACTGCAGCATAGAGTTTTGCAGCACTCTGAAGAAAACTGAGGTGCCTTTTGAAATTAAAATATAAAGCCAAGTTTGAACGCACAACACAATCATTAGCAAATTCACCATTTAAAATTATATTTGAGGAAAAATCATCAGCTACTTTTTGTTAAAGAATTAATTTTTAAAAGATAGTGAAATTATGGTCTAGTCCAAAACATTACAGAAGCTATAGAAGAGAAAATATCAGATGTTTAGCTTAAAAAACTTTAATAATATTCAGGCAGTCACCATGACTACTTTGAGGAAACAAGTGATCACTATAAAAATTAGACTAATGCAGTAATGGTGAACCTTTTAGAGAATAGCTGGCTGTGGCATAGATGCCACAAATTTACCATTACTGGACTAGAAGAAATTCATTTTAATTTACAAGAAAACACTGTACACCAGGAGTGCATATCAAGTTCAAATGAGTTTGTTTATAACAAACAAACGAGTTCATAAACCAAAAATGCCTATCTCTGAAATAGGAAAAATACTTCAGGATAAGGTGACTGAAGGACTAAAATAAAATGCACCTTTTGAGAAAATTAAAGAGTTATTTGTTGAGAGGAGGGTTAGTGAAGGTAAGTTAAGTGTGTTTTTTTTCCTTGCTACTGGAGATTGACCTATGGGTCTTCACCCTGAGCTATATCCCTGACATCTTTTTCAGTTTTTGAGACTAGGTCTCAAGGAAGTTGCCAAGGCTGGGCTCGAACCTTTGATCTTTCTGCCTTAGCCTCCCACAGTGCTGGGACTGCAGATGCACACTGTGCCCAGCCAGGCTCAATCTTTAATTAAAGTACATACCCCTGAACATAAATCTAGTAAGTGTATCTAGGTATTCCTGTAGACAAACTCTTCTGAAATCATTTGAGATAATTTAGGAAGACAGTAATAACTGCTTTCTCTATATACTAAAGATCACTAGCTTTATTAAATATAAAAATATTTACTGTCATTTTACTTCTTTATGGACAAAGAGAAAGTTGATTTTGGTTTTACTTAAGAACAGATGTTATAAATGATGAAGTTATTTACCATGAAAATAAATGCATTTACATCTGTGTAGCAACAAGGGTTGTGACTGAATTCTTTGTGTAACAGGGATATGATCATTTAACATTAAAGACTCTACAATATACACTTAAATTTACATATATATGTACTCACAAAGGTTCATTTAAGTCAAATTTTAATGGAGAAGGTGGCCTCTTTGGTGACTGCCAAAACAAACCTAATTAAAAGTTGCAAATGTTAGTTTCAACATGGATATACATGGGTAAGAAATTAACATTGAATTAAAATAATTTCTCAACATTTGCTCATACTTACTGCCATCTTTTAGTCGTGTGTCCACAGGAAAACAGTGAAGAAGCTGAAGTGCCTAAAGAAAAAAAAAAAAAAAAAAGAATTAAAGAAACCCATTATTGTCTGAGCAAAAACATTTTCTAAAATTAAAATAAAAAAATTTTATGTGCTGTAAATATATACACAAGTTTCATAAATCAAAACATACAAACATTTTTTCTCAAGTCAGGAAGAGGAAGAGAAGCAGAAACAGAAACGGAAACAAGAGGTCTGCTCTTGCTACTCTGATTCAACACAGTATTCCAAATCTGGCAGCCAGGCAAGAGAAACAAATAAAAGGCACAATAAAGAAAGGAAGCAGTCAGGCCAGGGTTTCAAGTGTATGGTCATGGGTTTGATCCCCAGTACCCCTCTCTCCCCCACCCAAAAAAAGAAAAAAGAAAGGAAGCAGTCAAATTACCCTGTTTGTACAAACTCAGCACAATTAGCAGTACACAAAATACAAAAATAAGGTGCTTCTTAATACAGCCACGAGAAAGGTATCAGGAAAACGAGCCCATTCATGGTAGCCTCAATAAAATGGAAACAAATACAAAGCCTAGCAATAAACCTAGTCAAGGAGGTGAAAAGACTTATACAATGAAAATTATAAAATACTGAAGATACTAGAAGATGTTCATGGATTGGGAGAACACTGTTAAATGACCACACTACCGAAAGCAATCTATAAATATCATGCAATATTCATCAAAATACCAATGACAGTTTTCACAGAATTAGGAAAACAATCCTAAATTCATTTAAGCACACCACACCCAATAAAGTCAAACTAAACTGAAGCAAAAAGAGCAATACTGGAAGCCTAGCAATACCTTATTTGAAAACATACTAAAACAACAACAGAAAGGAATGAAAGAAAGACATGCAGCTGATGGAATAGAATAGAGAGCACGGAAATAAACACACATCTACAACCATCTGATTCACCACAAAGCTGTCAAGAACATACGCTGGAGAACAGCAACAGTGTCAGGAGAATTGAATGTCCTGATGTAGACTAGATCTATCTTATTTAGTATAAAAAACAATTCAAAATGGATCTAAACCTTGAAACTACTGAAGTACAACAGAGAAAAATATTTCAAGATGTTGGCATTGGTAATGATTCCTGGCTGACTAAACAGCGCAGCAAATAAAAGCAGGAATTAGCAAGTGGAACTACATCAAAATAAAAAGCTTCTCCACAGCAAAGGAAACAACACAGTGAATAGTCTCCTAACAGAATAAGAGAACACTTTTATCAGCTATTCATCTGCAGTGAATATCCAAATTATACAAAGAATTAAAAAATAATAAAACAAGTAATCCAATCTTAACAAATTTTTTTTTTTTTCTTTTTGAGATGCGGCCTTGCTGTGCAGTTTAAGGTGGCCTTGAATCCCCAGAGATCCTCTTAACTCAGCCCCAAGAGCCGGCATTACAGGAGGGTGCTACCATAGTTAGCTCAAGATACTAGGAAAGAAGTATACGGGACCAATAAATAAGAAAAGATGTCCAACATCTTAGTCATCAGAGAATAATAAAAACTGTTACTGTGATTTCACCTTATCTCAGTCAAAATGGCTATTATAAAAACAGTAATGATAAATATAATGTGGAGAAAAAGGAACTTTTATATACTGTCAGTCAAACTGGAAATTTAGTATGGTCACCATGCTAAAATATTATGGGGGTTCCTCTAAAAACTGAAAGTAGAACTGCCATATGATTCAGCTATACTATTTTCTGGTGTATCCCCAAAAGTATTAAAGTCACCAGATGAGAGAGACACCTGAATGTTTATCGCAACACTGTTCACAGTAGCTGCCAATCAACAGCTACGCAGATGAAGAACCATGCTGTATGTTCACAATGGAATATTGTCCAGCTGTTAGGAAGAATGAAATCATGTCCTTTGTAAGAAAATGCATGGAACTGGTGGCTACCACATAAAATAAGACCCAAGACACAATACTGTTATGTTTTCTTTCACATGAGGAAAAAAAAAATTAAAATTAAAAGATCTGAAAGTAGAAGAGCAAGAATTAGGAAATGGCAAGAGGAAATGAATGAGGGAGGAGGGAGAGTGGAGAAGAGAGAAGAGCCGGCAGTAACCAAAGGTGGACGTGATCAGCCGTGATACACGCCTGTGCGAGGAGGTTCAGTGCAGCCTTTGCATCTGCATAATCAGTATTGGGGAGTAAGTTACATGAGAAGACACAGCACAGCGAGGCCTCCCAGCCACCTTTATGATGCCCTATCTTTCTCCTATCATTAACTCCTGTACCTAGAAAAACCTGTATTGCCTTTTTTTTTTTTTTAATTACGGCAAGTTCCCAACTTCTGAACATTTTTGGAACTCGCATTAGGAACCTTTGTAGCTCTGAGCAAATCATGGAGGCAGCTCACACCTCACCGTTGAAGGTAATTGTAAAAGTAAAAGTAGTTTATTTACAGTATTTCTCTGTGTTTGGTTTTTTAATGCTTTGTATTATATATTTGTGACTCACAAATGAATCCAACTTACGAACATTCTCCTGGACCACAACTCATTTCTAAGTTGGGGACTTACTATACTTAAAATGTAGAGCAAACAAAAACACATACAAATGATGGCATTTTTTTCTTTTCAAAAAGCTAACACTTATATAATAATACAAGTAAAAATACACAGTATTTTACATTTTGAGATTTGCTTCAGAATCATCTGGGATAGGGGGAAACTGAGTTGCAGATTAAACAAAATTACATGTAACCTGGTGATGATTAAGTTGACAGGGAAATGACTACACTAGGGGTTTATTAAAACTATTCCCCCCCCTCTTTCCATATATATATAATTTTTTTTTTTTTTTTTTTTTTTAAATCGGTACCAGGGATTGAACTCATGACCACGTGCTTGCAAGGCAGGCGCTTATGCCACTGAGCTAAATCCCCAGCCCCATTCCTCTATATATGTGTAGTTGAACTTTTTCAAAAATGGAAGTTTTTAAATAAACCCATAAAAGATAAGCTACAAAAAGTGCCAGGATTTTGAAAAAACAGGTCACTGACAATGACAGAATAAATAATAATTAGAAAAGAAGTCACATTTATTGGGTGATGAAGTAGTTTTCCAAGTAGCAGAGCCATGAAGAAAGCAGAAAGATGAAAAGACAAGATAGCTACAATCACAAGATTTTAAAAAGGTGAGAGCACCTGTCTAGTGTGCACAGAGTTTGGGTTGGATTCTGATAGTAGAGTATAAAGAGGGAAACTGAAGACAGTACAGGACATCTTTTAGCATCTGTATTGAATTCCTATTAAGAAGACTTTACTCAGTGATTACTTAAGTACCACCTCTTTCTAAATACTTTACATGTATCCTCATTTGATTTTTGGTTCAACATAGGTATCAGAGATCAACCTATTCTCAATTTACAGTTAAGGATGTAGACCTATTCTCAATTTACAGTTAAGGATGTAGACCTAAAATCAGATAGCTGGAAAAGGTATGCCACCAAAGTTCTTCACTGAGTGAGTGTGTTTTATTTTCTGTTTCCTGAATATGAAAGATATTCTGAATATCTTTTAGACTACAGATAAAATGTGTTCCTAAAGCCCAAGACAGAAATGCTATCTAAAGGACAGAAACACCAGCTAAAACACACACATGACAGGTCATTAAGAGGAATTTAAAAACAATTATGAGCCATACCCTTCTATGTCTGAAAAGCTTGATGACAGAATCAGGAACATTCCAGGCCAATGACATTAACCTAGTAATGACTAAATAAGGTGAAATCATACCTTTTCTTAATGTTTCAGGTGATACACTTACCTTATGGCTAAAATATTTTTCAAATTTTAATCTTGCTAATTCTACACACTGGGGCCAATTTCTAGGTCTTCTGTTAAGTAACTTAATAACTTGAAAACAGCCTTCTAGACTCTGTCCACTTTGTATCTTCTGGAATAGGAGCAAAAAAAAAAAAAAAAAAAAAAAAAGAAAAGAAAAGAAAAGAAAAGAAAAACAAGTGCAATAAAAAACTCCACATGTTCAATTAAAAAAGACACACATTCCCAAAGTATCAACCAAAGTCTGAAATGCCAGTTCATGTGTTTATTCTTATTCCATTATTTTTCATTTCAAGCTCCTTGCCTGCCTTTCTCTTATTTCTCTTTTAAAGCAGCAGAATGGGAAGAAATGACATAAAGACACTTTAGCTCTGAAGTGTAACTCAGAAGACTCCTCACGTATTTCTCGCTGAAGTAGTAGCACTATGTATGCACTAAAGGTTGGCCTTTCTAGCAGGACAAGATTCAGGCCTAAGGAAATAGGTTTGGAGTCACCCCGTTATGAAGTAGATGAGATTACTGTCCATTCGACATTACCCTATATATTTACTTTTTAATGGTACCCTGAAGAGGGTAAAAGGTACTTTGTTTGCTATTTTATAATTTTATAATCACACATCCTTATTAGGTAAGTGACATGAGTTGCTCTTCTGTCAGCATCAAATATGGACAATTTTATACAGTTCAAATGAACTTAAGAGGTCACTTGTGGTCTGATTTTAAGAAATTTTAAGATGTATCATTTCTCATTTCATGTACAGTGAATAATGTTTTAGCCCTCTTTATGGAGGTAAAACACAGAGGATGTGAAAATTATACTAACAGAATGTTACATTTATATTGAAATATACTGATCTTTACCTGCAAGACTTCTTCTGCAGATGGGTAAGTTTGCCAAAACTTGTTAAACAATGAAGGCTTATGGGAAAAGGAACTTTCAAACTATAAGGAAGAAAGAACAAACAAAAATGGCAAACAGCAGTCTGTTTAAAAAGTTAGAATTATCTTTTCTCTAACTTCAAAGAAAACAAATTCCTTGTAAAGGAACTTTACCTTGTCTCTTGCCCACTGTATAGTATGCTCAATAGCAGCTGGAAAGGATTTTAGAGTACAAAATGGTATTTCCTCTTCAGGGGGATCTCGCTATTACAAGATACGACAATTAATACTTAAGAAAGCAAAGGCAAACTTTTTCCTGTTGAGTTTTAACTTTTAAAACAAATATAACAATAAAATCCAAAATAAATAAAATTCAACCACACTTTTTTTGGTACTGGAATCATGCTTGCCAGGCATGCCCTGTGCCACTGAACTATTTCCCCGGCCCCAACAGCACATTTTTATGTCTTTTCTTGTAAGCAGCAAGAGCAAAAGTTAACTCCTTTAACACTTAACCTTTATTTGTTGAAAACAACAAAATGATAAGACATGGGTTTTATTTTCATTCATTATCTGGGCATGCATTTGGCATACTCAGGGCTGATCAGCATATATTATTTTTTTCTAGAGAAATCAATATGATAATTAAAATTTCATTATACTACTTCCTACTTAGAAAATTGACTTGAGAATCATTCAATATAGTGCTCAGTGTACCATGGAATGCTCAGCCTGCCCATGGAGAAGAACACTGGGGACCAGGGATCTTTGTAGTTTCCTGTATAGACTATGACTAAGGTTGCTTCATGGACTGAAACACCACTGAAAAAGTTCATGACCTACTGTAAGGGACATTTAACCTAGGCTTATTGATTTATCCAATCTCAAAGTGACTTTGACTTTGTCTCTCTTTAGAGCTTTATGTTTTAGTTTGTTGATCTATGAAACATCACTGAACGTTTTATAAATCAAAGAGAAAAGCCAGAAGAATATTAAATACTGGGCTTCATGAATATGAAATTAAAAAGGAGGTTTATAGATGTGGTAATATGAGACAATTATGGGAAGTTTTAGAATTTTATAACATTCCCCATTTTGAAAATCTTCAAATGATGTTCAGCATATCATGAATTTTTACATCTAATCTTTGGATTAAGTTTGAAAATTGAGCCTATAAAATTTTCATTACATATATTAACTTATCGTTTCATAAGGAAACATGGAAAAACCAAAAACTTTAGAATCACTTATTGGGGTTACAAAGTTACATTTGTATCAAGTATGTGTATCTGAATATAGAGTTTTGGGTTCCACCTTTGAAGAATATGACCGTTTAACTAGATTCTAATTGTTATTAGGTGTTACATACTCATCAGGTTTCAACCTAATTTCTGACAACACTATGCATATGAATTCCTAATGGAAATAAACATTAGTGTGAGTGCACAGTAACTAGACTTGCATTTTTTATATACTGTACCAGCTATGTCTAACATCATAAAATCAAAAGAACAAAAGAAAGGTATAATTTTAGAACTTTGTTTATAGTTCTAAACTCAATCTAAAAGTTTAATTTTTCTTACAAAGCAATCTAAACTCTAAGGTTGCTAGTAAATGAATTAAGAAATAATAGTAAATATAAGAATATTCCAGAAAGATCAGACATAAATTTTGATTTTAAAAGGTTCATTAAATTATATTTTAAAATGAATATGTATATATGTATGGAAACAATCAAAAAAGCAAAAACAGATTAAGAAAGTTAAATGAAATTTGTTGACTTGTTGAGACAGACAGAAAACATGAAGACATTTACTTCAGAATACAAATCCACTTACATGACTATTGTAAGACTCAGTTAAGTGAGGTACAATAACTTCAGTGTGCCCCTTAGTGCCCATCGTTCCAGAGTCTAGGAGGGGCCGCAGATTTGCTACGCAACGGCTGTTTGAAAGCACAGCATGAAAAACATAGTGAGCAACAACAGTGTAAGCTCAGGATATCCACAGGGCAATCACTTTCTGAATGCAGTATTTCAGGAAACAGACACACTACCTTAAACAGCCACTAAACACTTCCATTTCCCTGCCCTACCACATTTGTGACTTTGTTTAATCAACGTAACAGTTTTTCCTTTTCCTTCTAACTACTGGGACCAAAATCATGAGCTCTGTTAACTTTTATCTCTGGGTTCTTTTTTATTTATTTTTTTGTCTTTTTAAGACAGGGTCTTGCTATGCAGTTGAGCTTCCCTTGAGCTCACTTTGTCACCAGGCTGGTCTCGAACTCACAATGATCCTCCTGCCTCAGCCTCCTGAGTGCTGGAATTACAGATGTATGCCACTACACCTAGCTTTTGACTACAAATTGTATCTTACTGTATTTTACCAATATTCTTTATCCCAAACAGTATTAGCCTTCTCTTTTCAACATATTACTTATAGTTCTATACACTTTAATTTCTTAAAATTTTCTCCTTTTCTTGCACTCAGGATTACAATCTTTTCATTACATTTCTCAACTGCTAGAGTTCCTTCTGTTAATATATTATATACATTAGCATCCTAACATTATGTATTCATGAGGTAAGAAAGCCTAGGTAAGATGTGTATGCTTATAATTACTCATTCGTTTACTTATTTACCAAACATTTCCTGGACAGCATGTACCAGGAACTAAAAGTAAAATGAAAGAACACAAATGGCCTCTGGAAAAGATTTTGAGGAAATGAGCATCAATAAAGTAAGAGTTGTGAAGGAAAATGTATAGGAAAAAGTATATTTGAGGATTAAAGAAAATTGGTTTTAAGGCATTAAGGCTGAGATTGAAAGGATGAAGAAAACTCAGTGAAGACAGGTAAGCAGACATGGGTTAGGAGAAAGGAGGTAAATTTTATGCTGGATTGGAAGAAAGGTGATAGGTATTGCATGAAAAATATTTAAGCTTTTACCAGTTTTGAATTTTATTCTAAGTATAATACGATATCATCAGATGGTCTAGGTTTGAGAAGAATAAGAAACTAAATAATAATAAAATATTTGGGAACTCTTTAATATAATATATATGGGAAATAGAAGTAAAAAATAAAAGATAATTCTCTATATACCTGGATTTGAGAAACATACCTGTCAACATATCTCCTGGCTTCCACATTATCTAATGCTGTAATAATTATATCTTGTTTAGTATAAAACTCATCATTGTAAATGGCCTCTGTGGCTGGACATACTTTGTTCAGGTGTGCATCTATCTTTAATTGAGGATTTATATTCAAAGTTGCATCAGCAGCAGTATAGCTTTTAGGTTTCTAGACAAATAAATACAAACAAGAAATAAGTTTTAAACAAAAAACATACGCTATGATTGAACTTACACATTCTCTAAATTATTATATATGAGGTGAGTACAAAGAATGAGGTTAATTTCCATTTCTGGAAATCATAGTCACTGTAATCATATTACAATTAGTAATGCACACTGGACCATACAGTTATGAAAAATCTAAACAATTTTTATTTCATAGCTAAGTGCTTCAGAATCTTAATACAATTAGTTTATTTTTTTTCTAGTAATGTTTGACTTGGTAAGTGGCTAGAAAATAAGGACACATTCTTAAATACTGGAAACCAAGATAGTACAGAAAACAAGCTTCTAGATATAGGACCACTTTACCTTTTACAACTGAAAATGCTTAAAATGATTACATCTGGAAAAGGGTATCCTAAATAAAATTCATTCTTTCCTCTGTGATTTAGTTAATTATTGAATATTTGGGTCATTTCAGGTGTTTGTGAGCGTTGGCTCTGACAATTTCCTGAGAGCACTCTGTTCAAACTCATGCACCTAGTTTTAAAGGCATGTCTGTCTCACATTGTTAGGGTGATGTGTCTCCCTTCTCACTATTCTTAGCGTACAAACAATCAGAAAATGTTGTTGGAACTTAGTAACATAATAGGGTTTATAGTATCTCTCTAAGTAAAATATAGAAAGTGAATAAATATTGTGAGACCCTGCCATTTTGCCCAGTACACATGGCTAAGAGAGGCAATTAGGTTAAGTCTGTTACCTGCTTTAGTAACCCTCTGCTCATGACATGACTACGCTTAATTTACTATTAGGATTACATATGAGCTGTTTAGTATGGGGAAAAAATTTCTAAAGGAAATCTGTCTGTTTGACTAAAACTATTTCTTTTCCTAAATACTTTGATATCTACAAAAAAAAGACAAGTATTCTTTTACAATAAAAGAAATGCTACAGATCAAGGTTAAAAATACACAAAAATACTAATGCTAGGATTTACCTGTTTTATAACAAAGACCAAAACATTTTCAAATTCTTTATCTGTCAAAACTTTGAATTACAGAGACTATTTCAATATACTTCCTAAAATTAAATATGGAAACATACCTTAGTGATTACAAGAAGAAAACACATTGCTCATTTTCCCCAACTCAAGTTTTAATATCCAAAATCAATTCACAAACCAATTTTTGCATTAAAAGGTAATTTTCTATTTTCTCCTTCCCATTATCTGATAATCTGAGATTCTAATATAGTTCATATTTTATCTGTTTGATCACTATTTTCTACTTAAAAGTCTTTCCTTTTTTATATAATACAACAGATTAATTAAATTTGAGGCAAAATAACAACATACCTGTATGTGATGAGGACGAAACAGGAATTGCCTATTTAAGTTTGATTTTTCTATCAAGTCAGGATCTGTAACTGTAACCTAATGTCAGGAGGTGAACACAAAAGATCAATCTATTTTGTTTTCTCAGTATTACTAAAGCAATACCTGTATGTTATAAATTTTTTGGCTGGTAACGACCCTGGATTATAGCTCAGTGGTACAGTGCCTGCTTGACAAGCGCAAGGTCCTGAGCTTAATTCCTGGCACCAACAAAAGAAACAAAAGAAAAGATCAAGAGCCTAAGAATAAAAATCACTACCAATATTACGGTTTTATACTTGTTTGCAAAATGCACTTACCCCTCAAGCTAATATTTTTAAACTGTGTTCTAGATGTTAGTGTTGACTGGCATTGACAGACCTATCCATTTTTGTGTAGCTGGTATTTCCGTTATTTTAACAATTCTATGTGATTTCATGCTATGGTATCTTTTTCAAATGAACAGCATAAAATCAAATAGAAAATGTCCAACAAAAAGCCTTAGTGAACTTGTAACTGTGATTACTTACATATGTCTTCTCCCTCCAAACCTCTTTATTCTCTTTACCTTGTCTTCTACTAAATTAACTACTAAATTAGTTTTCTTTACTTCAACTTGCTTTTTTGTTTTCTGAGACAAGGTCTCGGTATGCAGTTCAGGCTGGCCTTGACCTCAGTTTGCAACTCAGGCTATTCTTGAACTCTCAACAATCCTCCTGCCTTAGCCTCCAGAGTGCTAGGATTACAGGTGCGTGCCACGATGTCTGGCTTACTTGGAAGTTAATGTGTACTCCTATGTGGTTATGCTCAAATTTATCACATGTAACAAAATTAAAATTAAAAATTAAAATCACTATCATCTTCTTGAACACAGAATAAACTATTTAATTTGCAATTCACTCTTGTACTTTCCATGAATATCAATGAACATTTTACATTTATTTTTGACCAACTCACTCCCAAACCAGTTATTATTTACCAATTTTTAAAATCAGTTTCTATTTAAATTACAATACTGATGAATATGTCTGTTTAACCTTCATGATGTGCTCACATTATCTATTGTTTTCAGTGAGAACAAGTCATAATAATCTTTTGTCATTTACTTGTCAGCTATCTTTTTTTTGAATTGAGAAAATTATTTTTATTTTAAAGAGAATAAAACCAGGCAAATTAAAACAGAATAAAGTCAATTACAACAAACCAGTGTGACACTGAACTTCAAAACAATAGGAAATCAACAATGGTTACTATATTGCTTCTTGTCTTAGAAATAGCTGAAGATACTTTCAGACATAGTAAAGATCAAACAGAACAGAATAGAACCAGTAATAATAAAACAGTAAATGCAAAAAAGCCCTTTAAAACAGGATAACAGTAAATCCAAAATGGTTTCCGTAATAAATCTTGCTATCTTTGAAATAGCTGCCCATGTCACTGGGTATAACAAAATCAAACAAAACCAAACAGAATAAAACCTAACAAAATAATAAAAATGACACAGGAATTTAAAACAAGGTAACAGAGAATTAACAATGGCTACTACCTTCAGGAAATGCCCCATTGCATACCATTACCCTCTGAATACATATCAGACCACTGGCCCTGGACCTGCAAAGTCAGTGAAACATCAAACACCACAAGCATCAAATTGCATTTCACTTCAAAATCTAACATGGCAGCCTGTGTTTCTCTGGATCAGCTGTCACTTATGGGATGGGGGTAGCGAGGAGTGGGGGTTTGGCTCTGCTTTTTTTCCATCTGTGTACCAGAAGGAGTTGGGGTCTGGCTGTCCCCCTGGTGGCCCTTGCATGGTGCTGATACCCAGGGAGGGTGCTTCTTGGTGACTTCTTGTTCTCTTCCCCGACAGTCCATGAATGGCCTTGCCAGCCATTTTAATTTGCCCTCCCTTCTGAAAGACAGTTCAATCTAGAATTCTGACAGTTATTTTCTCTTGCAGTATGAAGAACCATTTCCACCATCTCCTAACATTTATTTTAGCATCGGATGTGTGTTACACAACTTCTCTTTTTATCTTTACCTTTGATTTGTGTGGAATTAGTTACCTTTTCAAATCGGGTAAATTTATCCTTCTTCAATTTTGGGAACTTTTGTCATAACCTTTGGAATATATTATATTACTCCTTCTCTAGTATCTTTAGTTTCCCTATAAATTCCACTAGATTTATGTTGGACATTACCAATTCATCTTCTTCTCCAAAAAAGGTATCTTTCTGCACTCTTTTCTGGATATTTATTTATCATCTGTTTGTTGATTCTCGTATCAGTTATATATGAATTTAAATTTATGGTTATTTGGAAATTCTTATTTCACATTTTGTAAAATTTTTAGGGCTCTATTTTTACCGTTTTGCTTTACTTTTTATCTTGGATTATTTGTCACTTTAAAGCTTATTCTCCAGGCGGGTTTATTTTACTGCAGCAGTTCTCTTAGCTGCATGGCATTAATTTTTCTATTTGCCTTGGCTGATTCTTCTGTGAGGTGGTTGTCTCTTTCTAATCATTTCTGAAGTGAAGTGTCTTGTGTGATGTTGATTTGCCTGCAGTTCTAGGTGCTCTGTGTAAGTACCACCATGATGCAGTTTTACATTTCTTTAGTTAGGGGTCTGGAGATATCAAAAGTTCTACATGTGTTATACTCATTTCTTTGCTTAAGTTTTTATAGAACATAACTGAACACATTCATCAGTATGGCATGAGCTCTGTTTTATTTTCTCATGAATAACTTCCCTTTCCATTTAAAGCTTTGGAAAAATATTCAAGATAGAGATAACAGAATCTAAGTCACAAAGACTTTTACATCAGGATTTTATTTTTCTCTTGATTCCTGGCACTGTGGCTACATACATAAACACTTAAAATAGTCATTCTGTTGACCAACATGATAAATCTAAAAAATTGCTAATAAAAGCTAGTTTATATCTTAAAAGATTAAACAAAGTTAATGAAATATAGTTTTCTTTAAATACATGATATGGATGTGCATTTAGCTCACATTTAGTATTATGAACACAGATTATACACTAAAGTTTGTACCAGTCCCATTACTGTACTCAACAATCAAAACTACTTCTGAATGTTCTGTGAATTTCTAATGTCTTCTCTTATTTAAAAGATGTTACAGTTAGCAGTATGTAATAGAGATAATAACCAAGTGTTTTACTTTGCAAAGCTCCTTCACATTTGATCTTTACAACAGTGATATGCGGGGAGATACATAGGAAAAGACTGCTTTTCTGGAGTACTATTATCATAGAAAGGAACAAAGGAAACAGAATTAAAGTAATCTGTAACAAAACTACATAATCTGAAAAGCAGTTAGAAGACAATATAAATTTCCAATTTGTAGTTTTATCCTCTGTCCTCAAAAACTCACACTAGGAGTATGTGGTCAAATACAATTCAAGAAAGACAAACAGAAATACACGCTTTAACTTACAGATATGTATCTTACCATTCCTTTGTCTTTGCTTGTACCAACTCCAAGTAAAGCCAAATTTTTTAACATCTCACAGCCTATAGCTCCACATCCTACCTATAAAGGAGAAAAACAACATACCAGATTATACTAGATGCCAACCGAAGATTGATTTCACTCTAGTTTTCTTCAAATGCTAAGTTACAAAAGATACACAGTTTAACATATTCACAATGAGGCCATATTTCATGTCTCAGTGCTTGGTGGCTTGGATCGCTGGTGGTATATGCATGACTGTCCCACTGGCAGCTTTTCATTAATTTTATTAGTAAAGTATAAGTACTACCAGTAGTAAACCTGCCAGATGGGACAGTCTTACATATACCCCTGGTGGATCAAGCTGGTGGGAATATGATAAAAATAAGTTGCCCTATTTGTGACTCATCTTACTTTAAGACATTTAAAAGCTTTATTACGCCTTTACAAGTGTCTCAAAGAAAAAAGCATAAAAACTACATAAGGCATAATGTTTATAATTTCTTTAAGCAGGAAATACTTAAAAATTCCAAATAAATTCCATGAAACATTAGCACATTGTCATGAAAGAGTCCTTACTTTTAAATATTTCTCAAAACTTATCAGATGAATAAATGAGGCTAGGGCTTCCCTACTAATAGTTTTAAATAAAAACAATAAAAATTGGTATTAGATTTCATATATGCACAAAAACTCTGCAATAATTAGTCATTAAAACATTATTTAAAAGTGACTAATAATATTTTCAAGAGTGACTTATAATAGTGATAATAAAATAAACAAGGAGTTTTATGTTGTTCAGGAAAACGTCCCTGGCAATGCACTAAGACAATTATGATAGAAAGAAACACCTACATTATTTCTGCATTTAGTGAGAAATAGAAATACATAAACTTTTTTATGTATTTCTGAAAACCATTAAATGTTAAAAATTGTCATATTCAAATTTTAATTTGAGGACATCCGTGCTTTACATGAAGCCGGCACTCATGAGGCTGAAGCAGAAGAGTGCTATGAGATCAAGGCCAGCCTGAACTACATAATGGGACCTTGTCTCAAAAAATGAGTTAATCTGAAATATATTAATTGTTTAGACCACAGGATAGCAAGCTTTTTATGTGAAGGTTCAGACAGTAAATATTTTCCATTTTGTAGGCTATTTAGTCTCTGTCACAACTATTCACTGAGACCTTTATTAAGTTAAATTCCATTCTGCCTTTAATAAATTTATAATATAAAACAGTGGTTTGAATGTCTTACTTATTCACATCATTATTCACTTACTAAAAAGATATTCAAATTTTGTAGCTTCTGACACAAAGTATCTCCAATGCAGGCTCGTAAAGCATCGTATCTATCTCCCCTGAAGAAAATCACATACAAGATATAAAAAATTACTTAAGATTAGTTTCATTAGTATTAATGACAAGTACTGTGTTTTAAAACAATACTTTTAAGAGTTTCCCCCAACTTATCAGATGAACTATATTGTTTAAAGAGAAAAGATCTCAAAGGAAAATCAGCTTTTTCTTTCTGCATTTGACTTAATTGTTTGACTGACGTAAGTGAAGAGGACTTTTTCCGGCAGTCCTTATCCAGAGAGTGGAGTAAGCGCCAAGCCTCCCAGTGGGTGCCTACCACCTGGAATAGTACTGATACCTATGCACATTGAACACGTGCTCACACACGCACATGCATGCATGTGCACACACACACAGTTCAATGCTTTTCTCAGCTTTACTAAGTACGTAATACACACTGTGGTTTTCATTTTTGCAGCTTCACGTGATGGAAAAATTAGTACATAATTTTTTTTCCTCCCAATTTAAATTACATGATTCACCCTCACCACTGACCTCAGCCACTTCAGCATACCACCTTTTTTCTTTGCTTACTGACAACTTTTATCTTTTTATTTAAAGACAGCATTTTATTTTTTCTCTGGTATGCCCAAATTGTCAGTGTCTTTACTCTTGCATTTGGGGACCATTTTAAAGTAAATAAGGGTGTATTTGCACAGAAGTGACCATGATCCAGACAGTTCTGATTATGTGGAGATAGGACTAAGTGACCAAGGAGGATTCAGCATGGATATGTTGGACAAAGGGGTGAGTCAAGCCCATGTATGAGATTTAATATGCTACTACAACAATGCACAATTTAAAACTTACTATTTCTGGAATTTCCACTCAGCATTATTGAACTGCAGGTAACTAAAATCTTGAAAAATGAAACTGTAAGGGGAAGAAACTACTGTATTTAGAAATTTTTTTTTTTTCTAAACCAGTGATGTTTCTAAAAAAGTTCTTAAGAGAATTTGTGGGTAGAATTTGGAATTGTTAACTTGGTGAAATTGAATGTATAACTCTGAATTGTGTATTTCAGGGAGAATGAAATCTCCAAATCTTTATCAGGTTCTGAAAGAGTCATGAGCCTGAAAGATGAAGTGAGTGACATATACATAATAATTTTTCATCTAATATCATTACATTATCACACTTAACCCTTAAGTAGGTAAGAAGCAAATGCAGAAGTAAATGAATTAAGAAAAAAGATATCTAAAATGGATGTTTAGATAAAATCTCAAGTCTCTTTGCCTCTTAAAAAATACAAGAAAAAAAAAAATTTTAGCATTACCGTGGGAGAAATTCTTCACATTCAGGTTTGCCTAGGGATTCGACGATGTCTGCTGCTTCAAGATACAACTTAAAGTAGAAGGTTTAAAAACATAATTTACTACATATTAAACTTAAATTACTACAAACAGTTGTCCTATAGTTACTTAATAATCATGGGAGAAGACAATAAAAATGCTAATTCAGAATAAAATAATATTGTAAAAAACTTTTTACTACACACATTTTTTGGCTTTAAACTATTTAATGAAAGGGACTTCCGTTTATTTAACTGAAGTGACTTCCACTTTATTTTGATACCTTGTTATTTGTAGGCTCTTCAAGCTAATATAAACATTTCATAAATGTTTGATCATTTGGGTGTCACCTACACAGTACCTTAGCAGTATCTTTCAGCAAGAAAAACAGACAGGTTCTAACAAAGCATATTTCTCTGGGCAGGGCAGGCTGGTGCATTAGTGAACCCAGGCACCTTTCTCTTTGGCTTCCTTCTTTCTCTGATCATTTTCCTTGGTACCCTTCAGGAAGCCATCTTGACTTTCTGAGTGTTTAATATGCTCAATATACACATTAATCCTCCTGACTTTGCTTGTTTAACAACAATGCCTACAGCACGCTGGGTAGCACTGTAGACTCTTTCTGTTCTGCCAGTGACATTTGTGTGGTACACTTTTTTGCATAGTACCCATCCTCTTGATGTCTATGATATCACCCTTTTTTGTAATTTGCATATCTGCGATTAAAGGAACAATCCCAAATTTTCTAAAAGGCCTAGAGAACATAAACCGGGCTCCTCTCTTTCCATTTGTGTTCATCATTTTGGCAAATTACTGGAAGATGGTGGTTCTGGCTGAAAAGCTTTACTATATACTATTATTCAATAGTGGTAAAACATGAAAGAACTTTTGAAAGATATATATATTTAACTCACGTAACATAGCCATCCTCCAAGTATTTTCTAATTTTAAAAGGAAATCTCATCTCCAAATCTATTTTTCATAACATAAAACCTGTGGAAGTCTCATTCAATTTCAGCAACACTGATGTAAGTACTTTGGTTAGTATTTGAGAGGAAAGCACCCAGTCTATACTTATTTTCAAGGTTGGGTGCGTCATCTATAACAAGTTCCCTACAGAAGAAATGATTTAGCCACAACTTCAATATTTTTAAAAATATTAAACAGAATTAGTTTCATTCAATGAAAATAAATAACAGAGTCTGATTCTACTATTCACTTAAGTAACCTAAATGGCTAAACTTGAGCATGATCAGATTGTTATGTTCCATTATAACAGTTTACATTGATTTCTATTTTCCATGATGTTAACCCCTGTAACAAACCAAATTTTCACTAATCACTATGTGTCCTATATTACTCAGCAGCAAAATATCAGTATGTGAATATTTTTTATAATACAAAATATGTTATATTCAAAATATTTAAATTGTTACAAAACAAAAGGGGCCTGGATAATGTGTCCTTAGGTAATTTCTGCCAACTTTTCCTTCTGGTAACAGAAATGAGGGTTTTTATAACGTTTTATGAAGTTTTTATCCTACATAATTCTTGAACTTTGAGATTCCTATGTACTACACACGTTTAGAAGTTTACTTCGGGGGAGGGGACCTGAAGATTCATAATAGTAAAACATCTCACGGAACAAGTATAAGAGACCTGTGAGCCCAAAAATGCTAAGCTATGAGTAATGGAGAAAAAAATCTTAAGGCTAGGAAATCCATTCCTTCACGCTCACAATGGAGGGGAGTACAGGGGAAGGAGGGGAGTTACATCACAGTCTGTATTTAGGCTCTGGAAAGCATATTATTTTCTGCTCTCTCATGTATAAAGATACTACAAGATCACTTTTCTAACAAATTATTAATTCTACATTATAATACACAACACATTTGGCCTTTAAGTGGAGAATGCAACCTTAAATGTGAAGAAATATGAAATTCTGAACTAACCCACTGACACAAAGGTGAAAACTTCCCTGTCACAGCTTTCAGGACTTCTTGACTGGCAACTCCTCCGACTGCTGCAGCAAGTGGGGGCAAAAAGCCTTGAGCAGTCCAAGCGAGCCAACGCACAATGTCAGCATCTACTTCAGGCTGAAACACAAACCAAGACAGACTACAGTCCTACTCTCAGAATTCCAACTCCTGCATGTGAGAATTAGTAGAACTTAACCCCTAACAAAACCACTCAGTTTCCCTACTAACTAGATTTTAAGTTATCTTCAGCTGCACTTCCTTGAACTGGTATGGGCCCATCTTTGCTTTCTGACTCTAAGCATCCACCTGTGGTCTCACTTAGAAACAGCAGGTATATCCACCATTTATAGCTAGGACTAAAGAATAGTCCCCTCCTGCCAGTCAGCCGTATTTATAAACCTGGCATTTAAAAAAAGTAATGAAATCTATAGAAAAACTTTAAACTTGGATAAATGAAAATAAAGTGATTCATAAAAATGCTATTGGTTTGTGTTGAAAGTGATAAATGACAAAACACATTGTTAAAGAGATACACTTTTCAATGACTACAATTAAAGACAAATTTTTAAAAAAAGATTATTTTAAAGGCAATACTGGAAAGTGGCTCCGGAGCTACTGTGTTAGCACAATTATTGTGACAAGGACCTTTTCATAAACTCTGGCTTCTCTTTTTTCTATTTTCTCAAAATTAGTAACCTTAATTTTAAACTGAAGCTTCATGTAGGGTTCAATTAATCTTCTGATGTCCTATGAAAACTAGCACTTCTTGTGTACATCAGAGGGGAGAGAATTATATTCTCAAAAAAATCTGTGTTATAGAAATGGTTAATATCTACGTATTACTCAATGGTTTAAGTTCAATTAACTGTATCTCATTATTTTCAACTATTTAGCAGTAACTTTAATTTACAAGGACTATAATTTAAATTGTACCATTTTTTAAAGCAGATATATTGGTGGTGATAATATTAAAATAATTAGCAAGATAACAGAAACAGTCTGAATAAGTACTACTGTGACAAGTATATATTAAGTCCTTCATAATATTCAAAATAATCTGAGGAAATATTTTTATTACATGAGAAAACTGACACTCTGAACTATTAAGTAACTTTATCTAAGGTTTTATAGCCAGTAAGTATTAAGGCCAAGCTCTCAACCTATGAAGTTCAACTTCACAGCTTTCTTCCTATTATGACGTCACATTATCTTCCAAAGTTCTATTCTTTTTAGTACATCCAAACACCCAAGTCTTGAGAATTTTCAGTTGCCCTAGAATAATGATAGCAGCCTAAATCTAAATTTTCTCACATGATCTTCAAATACACGATGCATAGTCACTGGAAAATAAAGCAGTGACAGGTCTTCAGCACTGCTAAGCTTCAAGTTACTTTTAAGTAGTAAGCAGACATAAAATGCCTGCAAAGCTAATGGTCTTCACACTGGCACAGGCCTTTACGGTGGCAGGAAACATGGAGGTCGCAGAACACAAAATGAAAGGCTAATGGTAACATAGCATAGTCAAAATCATCCTGAAAAAAAAGAGTGTCCTGTGCTAAATGTAAAAAAAGTCTCAGCATTGGCTAGGGTAAAAGAATGATGCAAATAAAGTAAAATTAAATTAAACTTAATTTTAAAATGAAGTGGCCACAAAACATATGAAGAACAACTGAAAAAGTAAGCTTAAGAAAATATTTGTAAAACATATAGCTGACAAAAGACTCATCCAAAATATTAAAAGATTTCATAAACAATCAGAAAATAAAATATTCTCAAACTCATGGCCATTAAGGAAGTTAAAATTAAACTCACAACCAGATAGATCTACACATGTTAAAGTGGTTAACACAGAGGCAATACAGATTTTGGAGGACTCCAGATGAACTGAAGAGTACTTTTCCTAGGAACACGAATGGAACAGCTGCTTTGCAAAACACCTATCATACGGATGTGCAATAAACCTCTAGATAACTACTCAAGAGAAATGGAAATATATATATTCCACATCAAAATCCGTATACAAATATGGTCCGTATACAAATACCTATAGCTGCTTTACTCAGAATCAGTCTAACTGGAAAATAACTCATGTGTTCATCAACTAGTGAGGGATAAAAATGGTCCATCTACAATGGATACTGTGCAGCAATACAATGGAATGAACATGTAACAACACGAAAGAGACCCAACTCACGTATATCTACCAAGAGCAGTAATATACATAAAATATTTGTATGTTACAGTCAAATTCTTTAACAGCATAACTTTAAATATTTACCTTGTCATCCAGTGTTTCACTTATAGATGTTGCTAGTCTCAACAGCTCTTCTGTATCTTGTTGGTATCTATAATTTAAAAAACAAAGCGCCTCAACCTCAGTTTCCTCAATTGCTATAATCAGTAGGTCATATTCAAAACTAAATGCAAATTTTAAGTTCACACTCACTTAAAGGTTACTAGCTTACAAATAATTACTTCAAAATCATGATTACCTAAAAACAGTATGTAATAAAATTTACTTTTAAATATATAAGGCTTTTTATTTTTGACTTAGGTATAAGGAAAACAAACACCACCGATAAACATTAATTCTCATTTTTTTATTTTAAAAAGTGGTAGCTTTTAAAGTTTTTGAAATGGGAAAACTCCTACATAAAATAACCACACACACACACACACACACACACACACACACACACAAAATGAGCCCCATAAAAACCCTTAAAGTCGTAATACTTAAGAGTTTGGGGAATTTACTGGCAGTGCAATTATAAGAGGGTGTAGTTAACTTTTTTTTTGTCTTTCTGAGACAGGGTCCCAACTATGTAGTTCAGGCTGACCTTGAGCTCACTTTGTAGCCTAGGTTGGTCTCAAACTCACAATAATCCTCCTGCCTCAGGCTCTCGAGTGCTGGGATTACAGACATGAGCCATCTTGCCCAGCTTAGTTAACTTTTTGAAAATAAAATTACAATTCCCTATGATAAATGTTGTTGGAAACCACCACAAAGCGAAGTGGCTCTGAGCAGCATTTAACTAATTAGCTTTCTATGTTTATCTGTGAGTCTGTCCTAGGCCTTGCCTGATGACAATAACTCATTCACAGTTAAGTGACCCTCTATAAATCACTGGTCCTGGCTGAGGCCCGTAGTGGCTTTGAGGCCAGAGATACCCCAAAAGGCATGACAAGGCCACAGATGTGGACACTTGGCTCAAACATCAATTAAGTAGACAGAGACTGCAGCTGCAGGAACTACTCCTACAGTCTCACTCCTACCATGTCTCCATGATAAGACAGTGCTACTGAGTTGATTTGATTCATGACTTGGAGAAGTCCTTGAAGTGACTCCCAAGATCCTGCTCATTGCCTGCACTTTCCTCAGTTTCCCCACTCTTTGTTTGGACCTAATAAAAATGGGCAGTCCAAGTAAGTCTTTGTCTTAGCCCCCAGAGTCTCGAACTCAGCTAACTCAGGATTTTGACTCTCCTGGAGTCCTAAAATCATACCACTTGTCTCATTTTATTTAAGCCTTCACCAGACACTTGTTTGGGAGACTTATTGAGTCAGAACCCTGTAAAATGTGATCATTATGTATATCAAGAGAATATCAACAAAATTAATTTAAAAAAGCTACTTGTGAATTCACCATTCGAAGATAATACCTATTACGAGCTGGTTGTAGCCATTTAGAATTTTCAACAAATAAATATAAATACATATATAGGGCAGCTAGTTCCAAGATAACAAAGTATATTATGGTAGCCATTTTGGATTTATTATTATCTTGTTCTGAAGACCGGTACTGCATTCATTTTGTTTGTTTGTTTTTATTGGTTCTGTTCTGTTTTGTTTGATTATACTAAGTCTGATGGCATGGGTACCTATTTTGAAGGGGTATTATGGTAATCACTGTTGATTTTCTATTATTTTGTCTTGAAATCTTGTATCACACTGTTTTACTATGATTTTATCCTGTGTTATTTACTTGGTTTTACTCTCTTAAAAACATAAAATTAAAAAAAGAAAATTACAATTTCTGAAATATTGCTCTTATTCTTTATTTTAAATTTTCAGCAGGGTCTTACTAAGTTGCTAAATTACCCAGGATGAGCTGGAACTTCCAATCCTCCTGCCTCAGTCTCCCCACAGTGTTCAGATTACCCCGCACACCATACCCAGCTAATCATTTTTAGACAGAGAACATTACCCAGTATTTGGCTTGTGACTGTAGTTCTCCTGAAATTGATCCAATGCAAGCATTGCTGTGTGAATCTGCAAAGATACCTATTTAGGAACATTAAATAAGGACCAACATTTAGTGAGTGCTTAGTATTTCTAGGCACTGTGTTAAATGCTTTAAAAACACTACCTAATTTAATCTTTACAATAAACATGTGAACTATGATACTATGATGCTCACTAGAGAAGTAGAATGACTAGACTTTAAGTCCCCAGGTTTCCATTCCAGGTGTCATGCAGCATTATCAGGCTATTCACCTGAAACTTAAAGAGTGTATCGACTCAGCAACAAGTATAGAACATTTATACAAGATAATCTAACCTTTTCTTTATCAAAAGTTACAAACTTTGAAATTGCTCATTCTTATCATAAATACATTTAACTGGCACAAAAATTATATCCAGTGATTTAAAACCTTAAGGTTTTTGTTTTGTATTGTATGAAACTCTATGTGGTTTGGAATTTTAACACAATCAGATTTGTACACATTACTGAAATTTTTAAACATCAAAGCTAGAAAATCACAAAGTAAAACTTTTTCTTATTATTCTAAATTTTTTTAATCCTTTAGTCAATTTTAGATATATAACTTTTATTAAGAAAACCTGACAGCAAAGTATACACATGCTTACTCCATTTTAACTTTATATTCACTTATCAATTCCGATCCCCTACTCTGTTGTCTCTCAAACCTGCAAAGTATTTATTTACCTCAGGTTTGCTAAAATCCGCAACAAGGCACTTTGGATGTTTTATCTGCCTCTCCAATGGCTCCTAACAGAAAAAAACATGTTAGTTTATTGAAGTGAATAATTACTTGATAAAATATACTGCTACTGTGTATGACAGTTAGTAAAAGCCACAGATTTTTTCCCAAAGGTCTGAGCACACAATGTATACTGATTTGTATTAACTAAAATATAAAATAGCTATTATTCTCTCTTAACACATATTTAAAAGATTAAGTACAATAAATAACCACTCTACATATTAAACTTGAAAATCTGAATAAACATAGATGTATTCCAAAAACTGTTTTATCTAACCATACTGTATTTTTTCTGATACTAAGTTATTAAGACTTGTTATGCTTGCCTTGGATATTAAAGGTTAAAATCTACATGGAGTAAAAAACACAAAGCAAAACAAAAACTTAAAAAGCAGCCTTAACCCACATGCTAAATGTGGAATTATTTGAGACATAAACTATCCAATTAAAAATTGGAGTCAACTTGCTGGAAGATCACTGAGTTCACAGTAAGTTCAGTGCCAGCCTGAACTACATGGTGAGACCCTGTCTCAAACCACCCCTCCCACGGAAAAAAAAGTATGAAAGGCAGATCAGACTACCTGGACTAACACTGCACTGTTTTAATCTGAAGCAAGTGAGAAGAGGATTGTTGTTAATAGAATGAATGAGGGAAGACTTTTACAAGAAAATTTGTAAGAAAATCTTTCCAAGCTTAAACAACATGAAAAAACCAAACCACATGGGTGTGTTAAGATTATACTGGGAAATGGCCTAAGGATTTAAATAGCAGGAGACCTTTTAGTTCCAAGACAGAACACCAGGAGTCTACATTCTCTCTACAATTTACCTGTTCCTTACCTGGCAGGAGATATTACTGGGATTATTTTACATTTCTAACAATACAATACTTTTGAAATTTGAAAAATTAAAAATCATGATCAATTGTAAAGAAAACATGTAACTAAAATATTAAAAACTGGATAATAAAGCAAAAGAACTTTTAGTAAATCTTTTGAAAATATGAACATATTTGTTTTTGTCTTAGTATGATCAACTTTTGAGTTGGTCTAGAACCAATATAAATCTTTTGAAAAATGCATAGCCTAACTCATTCACATATACATAATATTCTAGCTGTACAAAATATATACTTTATTTATTTTTGTCTTTTTGTGACAGGGTTTACTATGCAGTTCAGGCTAGCCTTTAACTCAACTTTGTAGTCCAGGCTGGCCTTGAACTAGCAGCAATCTTCCTGCCTCAGCCTCCTGAGTCCTGAGATTACAAGTGTGTGCCACCACACTCAACCCAAAATGTATACTTTAGAAAAACGCTAGTTTATTTCTTAAGATTGATTCCATTTTTCTAAAAGTAGGTACAAAAAAACAAAAACAAAAACAAAAACAAACCCAAAACAATTTGCTCAATCTGAATTGTTTGGTTGACTGAACACTTCTATTACTTTTCCCCCTTCGGTTCTTTTTTTGTAAAGAAATGTTTTCTAAGCAGGAAAAAAATACTTACAAAACAAAATGTTTTAGGAGTCTTAACCTGTACAGCTATTCCTCCATGTAAATACGGTTCGAGCTCTGTAGTATCACCAATGCTAAAAGAAAATGGTGATTCCACTAGAAGAAAAGAAAGAAGAAAACCATTATACAAGGGATACAGATACTTACATTTGAACATGCCATGTCATGAGGATGTTAATTTTCCCTAATTTTAAAGGTTATAGTATAGTGTTGGATTTTGTTTTGTTTTCTCTAATATGGGAGTACTGTGGGGAGCTATCCAGAGTGTTTTTTCCAATGTGAAGTTTAGGAAACAAAATAGTCAAGAAAAAGAAAAATACAAATTATTAATTATTAGACACAATATTAATAATTACTGTTTAGAACAAAAGGTACTTTGGAAACTATTTCAACTGGATGAATTTTAAATGTTAAAATAATGTAAAAAACATTTAAGATAAAGGCATGGGAGAAGAATTTCTTTAAAACCTGGAATAAAGGGCCAGGGATATAGGTCAGTGGTGCAGCATCTGCCTAACAAGGGGCAAGGTCCTGATTTGATTCCTGGTACCCACCAAAACCAAACAAACTTGGAGTAAGGAAGGCTCTTCTAACAGTACTCAGAGCCACTAATAATTTAAAAGTTATGGTTATACAAAAATAATACAATTACATTGACAAAAAACTATCAAAAACAAGTCAAAAAACAATGCTGAAGTAGGAAAAACATTTGCAACTCAAGAACAAAACAGAACAAAATAAAACAGTAATGACAAAAATGTGTCAAATAATGCTCTTCTAAGAGTTCCTCCTAGTGGTTAAGAAAGCAGTCATGAGAAAATGCCAAAGCACAGTTCACATAAAGGAGGAAAAAAAATGCCTCTAAAATTTAACATACTCAGTATCATTCATAATACAAAAAGTACAAATGAAAATTATGCTTTGACAGTAGTCTCATCCATGAATTAAGCCAGAAAAGAAAAAGGAACAAAAAAAGAATGCTCTGCAATTACTGATGTAAAAGTATCACCAACCCACTTTATGTTTTAATCAAAAGCCTAAGGGCAGTGCTATGTATAATATAGACTTACTTCTGGGGAAAAGCTTAAGGGAACCCTGAAAGGAGATACAATACACTGTGCACAGAAGTTATGTGTGGTCAGTAAGAGTGAAGACGGGAGATGGAATCAAGGATGGGCAAAAACTTCACTGTAAAAATTTCTCTTTCCTGTTTTGAACTATTTATTCAAAAAGTTAATTTAAAAATTCAGCAAGCCTTCATCTCCACCTAACATATAAACTATGAAACTTACTATTTCTCTGGAAATCTGAAGTAGGGTTCATTTTCAACCCTATTTGTATGCATTTAATACATTTATATACTTATACATTTAAATATAAGTATACTTTTATATATATAGTATAACATGTATATGTAAAGTATGTGAATATATTTTGAATAATGTTTTTCACAATAGAAATTTTCTAAGAGCAGTAAGTATGGTATCAACTATAAAAAAAAAAAACTTCAAAACAATAAGTATTTAAACATGCCCCACCCTAAAAGAATTTTTTTGGTACAAAATGTGGATTTCATGATCATTCTTCAATATTCAATGGCCCCTTCTTACAAAGGCTGCTGCAACAATCTGAACTGGCATCCATAATCCATCATTGCATGGTTCCAAAGTAACAAATGATAATCCCAAATAATTAGTCGATTATCACAAAAACATACAATCAAGAGACAAAATCAATTTTATTATCAAAGATACTTAAATATGAATCTGAAGTTTGGGATGGATCTAAGAACTGTATGTATGGAGTTGTATGGATCTAAAGAATTTGCAACAAAAACTTATTTTTATGTCTCTTAAGGACATATTTTGCAATCAGTAAGAAAAAGAAAAGAGTAATTTTATTAGTCTATCTACTAATTCTGTAAAGACAGTTTTCAAATGCCCTAGAGATGAAACTGAATCACTCACAGGTACGAACACTGTTTACAGTCAAGTTACAAGTTGTAGAGCACTGTCCTGAACTCTAAAACACAGCTGGAGGGGAGACACAAACCATGTGGATTAACATTACTATAAATTTATTATCTCCAACTTCGAATGGGCCCTAGCTGCTATTGATTTCTTAAACCGCATATTCTCCTCAAACTTCCTTGGGTTTCCTTTGGGTAATAATCTCATATTAGTTCCCTAAAAACAGCAACAACAAAATGACTGCCTTCCTGTCAATAAATTCACAAATTTTTCTACAGTCATAACCATTCATACCCTTCATGAAAGCCACTAAACATACATCCTACCAACATCTTTACTTCCCACCTGAATATTCCATTGCCGCTTCACTCAGGAAGCATGAACTGTACTATCTTCTCTCCAACACACTTCCTTTTTGTACCCCTGAAGTAAATGAGTAGCAGGAATCATAGCTCCTCTACCAATGTTGTAGCAAGGTTTCCTCTAAATGTCTAAAATACTCATGGAATTCTAATTCTCATTATCAGCCCTCTCATATTACACTATTTAAACTCCTAAGTCCTGAACTGCGTTTGAGTCTTTTTACGTTTTGTCTCTGAATAGAATACTCTTTTTTACACTTTGTAAGCCAATGTGGCCATCAGATTGTAATCAAGACACCCACCCTGTCCTCACTGTTCCAAACAGGGCAGGTATCCATGCTAAGTCTGGAGTTCTAAGAATGCCTGTTCTCTGTTAGAGTGAGTTGGTGCTGTGTTCCCGCCACTTCCCAACACTGAGAATAGCATCTGAATTATAAATATGCAGAGCGGTAAGTGAGCATAAATGAATTCAGAAAACATGTCAACTTACCAGTTATTTGTTGTATGCACCCATTTAGACCTGTCATTCCATTAATTTCTCGAAATGTTAGGAATTGTCCTGTCTCAAGTTTGTGAGGACGATTTTCAAGGCAAGTTACAATACCAGGATTAGCCTAAGAATAAATGTAATCTATTAAAAAGCAAGTTCATGTATTCTTTGAGTGCATATTCCAATCTCACACAAAAATTATGTTATTGTAAATTGCAAACTCAAATTCGAAGCTATTCTTCTTCCTCCTTGGTGAAAACAACTCTCTAAAGAAATGACAAAAAATAATGACCAGGTTATTACTATTTTTTAAAGTGAATCTTGAAATATAACTTCATGTTTTGTGGGAGTTCAGAAGTATCACAGAGCAATTCGAGTATTTCACAGATACAAAGATTCTTGTGCCTTGTTAAAAAGAAGTTATAGAGTATATTTTAAAGTGACATTAGAAGTCAAACTGGTGATTAAAAGATAAAAAGCCTAATTCTGAATACTGAAGAAATGTACAGAAGGAGGATGGAGATTTTAAAACAGGAGTCTGGTAGTGCATAGCTTGTCCAGGATTTTATTTATTTGTTTTTTGGTACCGGGGATCAAACTCATGACTGTGTGCTTGCAAGGCAGGCACTTAGGCTGCTGAGTTAAATCCCCGGCCCTATCCAGTATTTTAAAATAAGAAATATTGTGTAGTTTATCATATTTTTTTCCTGTACTGTTTTATACAAGAAAGTATTAATGCAATAAAGAATACACACTAACTTTTGGTATGTACTCTAACACTGTTATTCTCAGGGCAAACAACAACCAACTATAGAAAATAAAAGGTTTACTATACACTAATAAATCTGAAAGAACTGGGGTGGGTAATAAATCACAAAATGATTGTTCAATGCAGTTTTCTTAAAAAGACATAAGAAAGAAAACATTAAACAGAGTTTAGAAATAAAATATGAAGTCAGAAGCACAAATACTGTTTTGTCATTGTGTATTACTAATTCTCTTATATTTGTTTTTGGGGGGCTTTAATATAAGCTAACTACAGCATCTGTGGTTACTTCCTTTTTGTAAGGAACACATATAAAGTAAAATACTTAGGACAAAACAAAAAAGTACTGAAAGGAATCAATGATTTTGCCAGTTCAGGAAATCAAAAAAAAAAAAAAGAAAAAAAAATTCAAGCTTATATGAAATCAGGAAAATTTGGCAAATTTACTTTTGATTTCAAAGTAAATCAATTCTGAAGCTTGTCCCCTTCTACATATAGCTTTTGTCTAAGATGCTTTGTGCCTTTTTTTTGCATATAGCCACTGTTGGGGCCAGTATTACATATTGAGTACACCTGTTCTGACACACTAACCAGTTCAGTAAATGAGTCACAATGCACGTATGACAGAAACATGTCAGAACAAAGCTGAAATTAACACTTATGAAAGGAAACTATGTTCTATCAAGTATTGAACAATGGGGGCTGGGGCTTTAGCTCAGCGGCATAAACGCCTGCCTTGCAAGTGTGCGGCTTGTGAGTTCGATCCCTGGTACCGATAAAAAATAAAAAGACAAAAAAAAAAAAAGTATATAACAATGTTAGTGAATGAAGAACATTTCTTTTTCTTTTCTCTCTCTCCTTTTTTTTTTGGTCTTTTTGAGACAGGGTCTCTCTATTGCAATTCAGGCTGGCCTTAAGCTCACTTTGTAGCCCTGGTTGGTCTCAAACTTGAGACAATCTTCCTGAGTGCTGGGATTACAGGCAGGTGCTACCATGCCAGCTGTATGAATCCAAAAATATTTTTAACATTATTCCAATTTCAAGCTAGCTCTAACATAATTCAATCAAAAATAGATAAAATAGTCCATTATCTTAAAACACCATGAAACTAAAAATACTGCTTACAAAATATTGTGCAAAAACTATCTTTTCAAAACCAGCATTCACATCAACTTTAAAATATTTTACTGAAAAAGTTCATTAATATAATCATACTTGCGTTATGTTTGAAATGAAAATTTCTTTTGGTTCTTCTCCTGTTGTATCTGAAACTTCAAATTCATCACCAAAATCACAAAACAATCGTGACCAAACTCCATGTACATCTGCACTGATGAACTGTGAAATGGAAGAATTGAAAAAAAACCTCAATTATCTTCAGTCCTTTAATGACAATTTTATTTATAATTAAATATAACCTTTGGCATATAAAGTGAGTTATGAATACACTAAATTGTTCTAGTTTACAAATCAATCAATTTGGTATTTGGTGAATGAATACTGGGTATTATAAAGTTGCAAATACTGTTAGTTTATTATCGTTATACATTCTATGATTATTAAAGAACACAAATTTTGGCCTTGTCATAAAATTCAAGCACAATATATAAGAAACAGATACTGTGATTTAATGGTCTAGGAGCAAATTACTTGTTATTCTGGAAAAAAAGAAGGGAGCATCCATTCATTAAAAGTGATAGAACTAATAAAAAAATGGATCAGCGCTAAAAGTGGTGGGCACTCTATACAAAAAAGGCTGAGGAATTAAAAGCATAAACCAAAGTCAGGTAAAAATTAGGTTCCTGAACTTAATCAGTTGTTTTATTAAAAGGAATTTGTATAACATGGAATGAATTCATTCTAAGAATCTGTAGAAATCAGTTTTGTACTGAAAATCATTTTTGAGCTATTTATAATTTTAAAAAAGGAATATTCTATAGCATATATGATCTAGCATAAAGCAGCATTTTTCTAATAAAACTGTATTTAGGTATAAAGACTTATCAACATAATCTACACCTTTTATATTATGAGATGGCTATCAGAATACTATCTCCCATTCAATCATGTATTGAATTTACTGACCACAATGGATTACTTTAATAAGGCATAAAACTTTGCAGAAATTTTGATACTTCTTCCTCCTCACTTTAAAATTTTAGAAGCTGCAAATTCTGGGGCAACTTTTTTATTTCTAAAAAAAACCCTCAAGTATAGAAACATACATCAATTACACAACAGAGACTGTACAACATATTGTAATTACTTCACGAAACATTTGTGTCCTCTTAAATTTACTGCTCTGTGTTACCATAAACTGTGAACTATAGCACAAATGTTACAGAATATGATACATAAATACCATACACCAAAAATTTTCAGAACATGTACATCATATAAAATAATTTTAGTTTAGTGCCTATCTCAAAGGTACTTTGTTCACCTTCCAAAGAGGATGAGTTAAGAACATGCATTCAATTACAGGGGAAGAACTGTTGCTGGACAAAACTTTAGAAATTATTCTTGGTCTATCACTCTTTCAAAGCTTATCCTTCTCTACCTACAAGCTCTATCAATCTTTTTGCTGTTGTTGTTGCTGTTTGATTTTTGAGATAGGGTCTTGCTATATAGTATCCGACAGCCTTCAAATTCATGGTGATCCATCGGCTTCAGCCTCCCAAACGCTGGGATTCTAGACATGCACTGCCATGCCTGGCTGTAACAACTTCTCTTTATGTCTTTTCTCACCTTTTTTAATGTAGGACTTCAGCATCTTAAGGGGCACTAAGCAGTAATTCTGAACTGGTCTAGTCGCCCCTATGCTACACTTACAATGTCACAGTTCTTTCTTGAGAGGTCTCTTTTTTGTCATTGCTGTTTTGAGACAGTATCTTCTTGCATAGTCCAGGCTGGTCTTGAACTCACTATGCACTCCAGTCTGGCCTTGAACTTGTGATCTTCCTTCCTGACCAGCCTTCTCAGACCTGGGATTACAGGCATGCACTACTAACCCCAGCTTTTTTTCACCTCTTCGTGATCACTTCATATTTTTTCTTTTTTCTGGTACCAGGGATCAAATTCATGACCTTGGGCTTACCTTAAGCTAAATCTCTGGCCCCACTTCATATTCTTAAAGATTATTGAGAATTTAAAAGGCTTCTGCTTGCATGAGTTATACCTATTAACCTTTACTGAGTTAGAAATTAAAATAAAAATTTAACTACTTACCAGTCCAATTATTTAAATATAGGATAACCAAAAATTGCATACATCTTGTTAATTTTTATAAGACACTATTTATCACAGTCATTTAATATAAGAATTGACTGGCTGAAATGACAGCAGTCTGAGTGAGGCTTGCGATAGTCAGTGTGCAAACAAACAGGCTGCCTGAGTGCGGCTGGGGGTAAACCGTTGTGGTTAACACAAGAATACATCAACAAACATATATTTACAAGCTGACAGAGGAACATTAATACCAACACAGAATCTAAAAAATCCAGTGCATTTCATCAAAAAATAAGAATGAAAAAGGTAATATCTTAGAAATATCATGGAAAGAGTCTGATGGTGCAGATGCCTGAAAGGGCTTCAGATACTCTCATTTGCGTATTCATTTCACATTCTGAAAACTTCTGATACAGTTTACTCTGCATACAGCAAGCCAAAGTGACTCTTCAAAACAGAAATAGAAACTCAGAGGCTTAAAACTGAAATATCCTCAGAGCCTCTAAGGTATGGCCCTATACTTACTTTTCTAAACTGAACCTTCCAGAATTATCTTCCTTTCTTTACCTAAGTCCATTTTGGTCCTGGCTTGCCTCCGGATAGGACTCAAATTCAGAGCTGTATTGCACACTTGCAGCTTTTCATCCATGCGGATCCCTCTGCTTTGAATCTTCTTCCTTAGACCCTCACATAGCTGGTCCGTTTGCCTTATTCAGACATCTATTCCATGTCATCTTTTTAGAGGAGATGTCCTGACTTTCTAATACAGCAGGAATGACATAGACCTCATCCAACTTCATGTAGATGCACTACTGTCTTTATTCTTGGCTCAGACCGTTTTCTTCTACAGGACTTAAATAGTTAATAAATACTCACTAAATGAAATAAGAAACCTCTGAAAAACTGCCATCAGACCATGTTTAAACTTAGATGATGCAATCAGACACAGTGGTGATGATACACAGCTGCAAGGCCAGCACTCTGGGAGGCTGAGACAGGACGACAAATTCAAGCCTACCAGGAACTTAAGGAGACCTAGTCTTGAAAAATTAGCTAAAGACATAATTCAGTGTAAAGACCCTCAAAACAAAGACAAAAATGTATGTACTCAGTGTTTATCATCCATTCCTAACCTTAACTCTTTAATGTTGGCAATTTATCCATAATCCAAATTTACATCCTAGTTTTAAAAACAAGAAATCAGCATGACACCAGTATTAAAGGATATCAATTGGACCATGATTATCTTATAAAAGAGATTCTTACATAATTCAATAAAAACCTCAAATTTTAATAGTAGGTGTTCTTCCTTTGATGAACTGCAGGTAATAGGTCATTAAATGTGGATAATTACCTTAATTGGAGGGCAATGAGAACGGCAAAAGTTGTTGATCTTCTTTTGTAATGAAAGTTTCATCTCAGTCAAAACTACACACTGTTGACAATAAAGAAATTAAACACCACAGAATATAAAATTATTTAGGCAAATAACTTCTAAGTCAGAAGCTCTTCAGTTATAACTGTGCTACAAATACACTGTTGTCCTCATAAAAGCTACTATCTTATTACATTCTTTTCTAAAGTTAACACCCTTAGAAATATAACAGCAAAATTAAAAAGTAACATATGTATGAGAATATCTGTCCATGTTAAAAGGCAAAGCTTAACACTTTAGGTTATGTCTATTTAGTCTCCAAATATTTGGAGATTTGTTTTATCTGTTACTATGGTGGAAACAGTTACCTAGCCACTATAATACAGTATTATTTTCAAGTTAATTTAAAAGTGACAATATTAAGAGATTAGTTGGCATAACTTTTTTTAGTTCTGATATTCAACAGATTTACAAAGTTTGCTTTTACAATATTACTAATGAACTTCCAATTCTATCATTTAATACAGTAAATCATTTTCAAAGCTTAATTTTTCATGATCTAATATAAATTTTAAAATCAGAATTTGATTAGGTTCATAAAACTCAAATACACTCATTAGGGTCAGCTGTCTACCAAGCAGCAGAGCTAGATTCTCAGTCCTGTGTTTCCTCACTACAGGTCTGCATGGACTGGACATCTTAGCTTCACTAGAGTATATTCAAGTGTGAATTTAGTTTATCTACATCAACATTCCTCCAGAGGCCTATCATGCTTTGTACACATCTCACTGGGGATGCCATGAATATAAGGAAGATTCTGACACGCCTGTGGTTGTATTTTGACTTTCTCCCTTCTTAGTTGTCTTTCTTTTCTTCCTCTTGCCTAAATATTCTGGCTAAAACTTTGGGTACAATGAAAAACAGGTAAAAGTGGATAGCCTTGTCTCATTCCAGATGCCAGAGGAAAACACTCAGCTTTTCCTCATTTAGCTTTTATTATGTAGAGCTATGATACTTTTGTACCTATTGTTTTAAAGAAATTTTATCACGAAAGCAGACTGCAATTTATCAAATGCTTCTTCTGTAACTATTTAGATAATCATATGACTTTTATGCTTTACTGTTAATGCATTACTTCCACTAATTTGTATATTTTGAAACATCCTTATATCTACCCCTGACATAAATCCAACTTAATTATGGTGAGTGGTATTTTAGCTGTGCTGTGGAATCTGATTTGTTAGTTTTTTTGTTACACACTTTTGCATGTTTACATCAAGGATCTTTGCCTAATTTTTGTTTGTTGTGTCCTTACCTGGTTTTGACATGGTGGTAATGCTGCCAGAATGAGTTCTCTCTTAATTCAGAGTACTTTGGAAAAATTGGCATTAGTCCTTTAGAAGTCCAACAAAACTTAGCAGTGATACCATCTGCTCCTGTTACGCTCTCTTTTGGATGACCTTAACTGATTCAATCTTCATCTGTTGTTTTCTGTGTTTATATGCTTCAGTTTCAGTAGGTAGTGTATGTCCATAAATGGGTTCATCTGGACTTTCCAATTGGTTAGTGTAAGGTTTTCTGTACAAATTTCTAATAGCATTTGTTACTTCTGTGCTATCAGTTGTAATTTCTCCTTTTCATCTCTAATTTTTTTATAGGTTTATTGATTTTATCTTTTCAAAAAGTCAACTGTTTCATTAATCTTTTGTACTGTTTCTATTTTATTCATCTCTGTGATAATCTTTTATTCTTCTAATTTTGAGTTTAGTTTGCCTGTTTTTCTTGATCTTTGAAATTCATCATTAGGCTATCTGAAATCTATTTTTCTGAGGTAGATATTTGTATCTATAAAATTTCCTCTCATTACTTCTTTTGTTGTACTTGTAAGTTTTGTATGTTGTGTGTTTGTTTTCACTCATTTTTAGAAACTTTTAAATATTCTTTTTGATTTCTTCAAGGACTCAGTTTCTGGTTTCTTTTTTTAATTTTTAATTTTATTCTGTTGTGATAAGGTAATACGTGATTTCAATTTTCTTTAAGCCTCTTAAGATATGTTTTGTAGTTTACTATATGTGACTACTTTAATTTTTAAGTGTATAAAGGCATAATTTATCCACAGGAAAAATCATGGACAATATAGTTAATCTAGAACACCCAGCATGCTAGGAAATTTTATTCCTATTATTTACAGATTTGGTAACTGTGGTAGACTGAATTACTGATTCATTTATTTCACTCTTCTGTAACTGTGCTGTTTACCTATAGCTTCTGAAGAAGAGAAGAACCAACTTTAGTGACTCTTGAGTTTGTGTCTGACAATGTGACATGCGTTGGTCAATGGGCTGTTAATGGAAATAATGTGCACAAGAGTTTGAAATAAGCCTTAGTGGTACTCTTCTGTGTTTTAGCTATTCCAATAGAAAACGATCTAGGTAGACTTCTAGGTCATGAGACATGAAGAACTTAAGACTCTCAAGTTCAGTCTGAGCTAAATTCAGCCTAGAATAGCTACAGTCATTGACTCACATGCAAAAGCATGAGAAAAAAAATAAATACATGTAGCTGCAAACCACTGAGTTTTAGGCAGTTTTTAAATGCATATTACTGTGAGAATAAAGTCAACTGATATAACTGCTTTATCAGCAGTTCTTAAGTATTTTCCCTAAAATGGAGCATTAAATAACACATTATTTAAACAGAAGTCTTCTAATTGGAAACGTTTTTTTTTTTTTCTTTTTTTGCTCTTCAACACACTAGATTAAACTAGTTACACCATATATCAGTGGTGGTGAACCTATGGCACGTATGCTACAACTGCCTATCTGTTATCACTAAAAGTCCTAAAAGGTTCACCATCACTGCCATATATATATATATATATATATATATATATATATATATATATATACTTAACAATTTGTGCTGGAATCTGTCAGTAACATTTAACACAGAATGGTGTACTAACCTGATATTTATTTAAGAAGGAGAGATCTGTAGTTTCATTGAAAGGAAGAGAAGACGATGTGACATGAACATAGGGATTTAGCTCTGCAATACGGTGAAGTACAGCTTCAGCCCTAAAAAAATATTTTTACTAGTTTTTTCTTTTAGTACACAGTCTCTTAAAGTTGGACACTTCAACCACATCAGAACCTAATAGGTTATGAAATTTCAATGAAGTAATAAATTGTAGAAGAAAAGATTTTATCTGTCTTATAATTACATAATCTTAAAATGTACAGTACTGCCATATTTCACAGTAAGTCAATCTCAAAGCATACTGTGACAGTTCTAAGCTCTCTCTTAATTATTAATACTAAAGACTTCCTTTACTAATCTCAAAACATTCATTTCTAGGCAGCAATATGAATGTATCAAAGCTCTTACAAATATAGTTATCTAAGTCTATATTTCGGTATATATGCTTATGATGACAAGTAAAAACAATGACTGAACTACTGTTTTAAATACAAAATATTCTACACAACTGAGTTAAAAAAAAAAAACTCATGACAATAGATTAAAATATCTTCACCTGTTTCTCCCATTAACAACATCATCTTCACAGAGGAAGAAGTTGGTCCCAAGATCCCATGTGTGGCATCTTCCTGTATCATGGATTGTAAGTGCCTTCAAAACAAGAGGAAGATGTCTGTTGAAGTCCAGAATGGGACAAGAGTGATTACTCTATTAGTTATTATTATGTGTACACAAACAACAAAAATTATTAGCAGCATAAAAATTGGAAAGATGTAAAAATAGATCGGGAAATGACATGATTATATATATTTGCAAACCCCAATTTGCTGATGAAAAACTTTTAAATACTAATATTACCCATGTTTATAAAAACAGCATGTTAAAATATTATAATACAAATATTTAGAACATTTATATAAACATTTAAAAACACTTCGTGTAATAAAGACAATTAATGAAGTAGAAAAAATATTTGTAGCTTATACTAAGCCATTTCAACCTTTTTTTTGTTTTGTTTTTTTGAGACAGGGTTTCACTATGTAGTTCAGGCTGTCTGGAACTCACTATGTAGCCCAGGCTGCCTCAAACTCACAGCAATCCTCCTGTCTCAGTCTTCTGAACACTGGGATTACAGGCCATGCCCAATTTCAGGACATTGCAAATCTTACTGAAAAACAAGCAAATAATGTATAAAGAAAACACTGAAAAAGAAAGCCCAGTATGGTGTTGCATGCTTGTAATCTCAACACTTGGGAGCTAAAGGCAACAGAATCACTGTGAGATCAAGATCAGCCTAGAGTATACAGTGAGTACAAGGACAACCTAGAATTTTCAGAGACCCTGTCTAAAAAAAAAACCCGAAAGTAAAAATCTGAGCCTGGTGGCACACACCTGTAATCCCAGCATTTGGGAGGCTGAGGCAGGAGGATTGCCATGAGTTCAAGGTCAGCCTGGGTTACACAGTGAGTTCAAGGACAGCATGAACTACAGAGCGAGACCCTGTCTCAAAAAAAGAAAGAAATGCATATAGCACTTAAAAATATGTAAATATTTTTAACATTGCCCAGGGACAAACCACCTTTTCTTACACATTAGATTGGCATAAGTCCAAAAGTTTGATAGTGTGCTCTACTGTAGAGAAAGAGATGAATCAGCCAATCTCCTCTAATACTGATCGACACATAAAGGGTGTCAACCACAACAGAAAGCGATTCGGCAATCTCTACCAATATGAAAGATGCATTTATTTTTTGATAAAGAAATTCTACTTGTGGGAATCTATACCAAAATTTGCTGGGAAAGATGTATGAGCAAGGACACTAAATGTACTTCTGCTAAAAAACTGGAAGCAATCAAAATATCCAAGAGTGAAAATTTGATACAATATGTGATATATCACACAATGAATACCCATGCAATTACAAGAACAATGAAAAAATATATATTAACCACTATGTAGTAATCTTTAAGATACACTGTTAAGTAAAAAAGGTAGAGAAAAGCATAGTAGTTATGAAACGCAAGAAGAAATAAAAATATGCACACATACAAATATGCATGTAAGTATGCATGCATTTGCTTGTTTAAATAAAAAAAAAACAAATGAGTAAGTCACTGACAGGGAGCGATATAGTAAATGAAGGTAGAAATTGCATAGAAAGAGGTGAAAATTTTATAAATATGACTAGATAAAAATCAATATGACTAGATAAAATCAATCTCACATCAGTAAAATTGAATCAAATTTTAAAAAAGCAACTCCTAAATATTCAAAGCAAAATGAACAAAACAACTAAACTGTTTACTGAGTTGCTTACCTAACTACCCAAAGAAATTACAAGTGACTTACAGAAGCAGTTAATTCATCTATCTCATCCAAGTGGGATTTAAAGAGGCAAAACACACTTTAAGTATTTTCTTTTTTTTTTTTATTTAACGAGAAAGAAAAAAAAAAGGGTAGAAACAATTCGGAATTTCAGAAAAACAAACAGTAAGAAATCACCAGTCGATAAATTACATACTGTCATCTTAGAAATAGTTGCTCGACTTACAAAATTAAAGCATACAAAGTGATATTCATATGACACTGCAAACAGTTCTGCTCAACGATCCAACAAGAACTTAGTAATCTGGTTATCAGTCCTACACACTTGTTTTTTTTTTATCTTAAACAGGGTAAGATTAAACATAACAAAACAGTTTATAGGAAATAATTTAAAGAAACACAGATTTCAAAGCAAGTCCACTGGAGATCTTCACTGTCCTTCACACACAGTGAATATATACTGAACATTATAGAACTAATCAAATCATTACAGGATGATGAAGGCTTTTTAGGTCTTCAAGACCTGATTTTGAGGAAGTCAACAATGTCTACCATAATGTTTCTCAATCTCTTCGTAGTAGCTGTCTTTATCTTTACATATGCTAAAATTGAACATGAGACTAGACTAATATCACTCTGAACAGTGAATGACAATATTGCTAGATTTTATATCATAATGCTATAGAATTAGCATTGGGTTTCTTAGTGTCTCTTCTTCAGAGTATCTGTTCATTACATCGGGTATTATATAATCTGTTCCCATAAACAGTTTAGAAATTCTTCCCATGTGTGAATCTCTACATGTATATATATCCTTTCTGTATTATAGGGAAAAACAGATCAAAACAAGACAACAAAATAAATTCCTAGAAAAACATGAAATGAAAAGGACATATTGGAGCACAATATTAGGTGATCTACAGTAGTTACTATGCTTTCTCTTGTTATTTTCAATAGAATTGTCCATATCATCAGGCATAATGTAATTGAACATAACATTACATGGCTATTTTAATAAAAACACAACTTTGAAGACATTGTAGGACTTCAAAGCAGTTCATAATCAAAACCAGAATAGGTATCTTTTGCATCTTGTCATCTTCAGAGTAGTTGCCTCTACTCTTAAGACTTGATACTATCAAGCGTACCACATTCGAGTAAAATCAGTCGAGGCTAAACAGTGGTCTAATAAACCAGCTTCAAATAAGATCAGTCATGGTAAAACAATGTAAGTAATACAGGATTTCAGTGTAAGTTAATAGGAAATTAAGGATAGTTACCATGGTATAACATGCTATTTTTGGATTAGTTGTCTGTGCCCTCAAATCTAATATGAGTAGACAGACTGGAACAAAATATAATCAAACTAAACAGAGTGATAAGACTACTGTGACTTTTAAATCCTGATACACTATTAACAATGTCCTCTGCTTTCCTTTTTTAGACAATTCCTCCCCTTTCCCTTTCTCAGGATGCTTTGTATATCTTGGGTCCCACTAGCTCTTTTAGGTTTTAGATTAGGGGGCCAACTTGTTATCTGAGTGTTGCTAAACCTTTTTACCTCTGAGCTTGACCTTGAGCTGTACTCCTTTACTTACTAAAGTCATAGGGTTTTCCTTTTTTCCAGCTGTGTAGTTCTACACTGTCCAAAAGTGTCACAGCTTTCCAATCTATCTGTGACTGCTGGGCGAGTTGTCCCTATTTCTCTCAGTTTCCTGTCACATATAGTATTGTTTTCTCATCTTTGACTCAGTTTATTAACCCTCTTTCAGGTTGAGTGTATTTCCATTCAGAGCATCTCAATGGAGCCTGTCTCTTATTCTACTTCGCCTGTCTTTTTTTAAATTTTAGTGTCAAGGCTATCTATATTAAAGATTATAGCTTACCGTCTCTGTCCATGTCTGCTACTCCACTTTACTAATACTATTTGTCCACTTTACTCCTTCATTCCACTGTCTGCCCCGTTCATTGAGGCCTCTCTGCCATTGTTGCTGGTAGTTTTTCCTCTCTCCCTCTGGAATGTCCTTCAGCATTCTTTCTAGGGTTGGGTTGTGGCCATGAACTCCCACAGTTCCTCCTTGTCTTGGAAATATCTTGTTTCTCAATTAATTTTGAGAGAAAGTTTCGCTGGGTACATCAGTCTTGTTTGGAGGTTATTTTCTTTAAGGGCTTGGAATATTTCCTCCTAGGCTCTTCTCAATTTGAGAGTTTGTGTAGATAAGTTTGTCGTTATTTTGATAGTTTTTCCATTGTAGGTAATTTGTTTCTTTTTTCTGGATGCTTTTAATATTGTTCTTGTGGTGGATTTCTGCAATCTTGATTATTATATGTCTGGGTGTAGATCTGTTTTGTTGTAGTTGGCTGGAGTTCTGTATGCCTCATTTATCTGGATATCATTTCTTTTTCCTATGCTTGAGAGGTTTTCCTTAATTATATCTGTGAATAGTCTTTGTAGTTCATTTGTGGTTACTCCTGCTTCTTCGCTCACATGCTTTATTCTTAAGTTATGTATCCTTTGTGTTTTATTTTTAAGTTATGTATCCTTTTGTCATTTTCTAGCCTTTGAATTGTTTCTTCCTGGTTCCTTGTTATTTTTAAGAGATCTCTTCTTTCACATCACAGACCATAAATCTCTCTTAAAGTTTCAAAAGGCTAACTTTAGCTTCTGTCAAGGCATTTTGCCAGCTTGCAATGGAGTTATTAGTTTCCTGATAATCTCTTTGGATCTGTTTCACATATTCTAGATTTTGTTTATATTCTTCATCAAAGGTTTCTCTTCCTTTTCTGAGTTCCTCCGTTTTTCCATCTGTGTTCTGTTGGGAGGGGCTTATTTCTTTAATTAATCTCTCTATATCTTGCCTCACTAGGATGAGAAGTACAGTTTTAAGTTCGTCTATGAGGTCATGAAGGTATTTCTTTATGTCTGCTGATACTGTGTCTAATATTACATGACTACTGCACTGTTTCTCTTCTGTATTTACCTCTCCTAGGCTTATTTTTCCAGGGTCAGCAGCTGGAGGGTTTTTTTAATTTCTGTCTCTTGTCATGTTTCTGGTTCTTTCAGACAAGTGTGTCCAGGAGGTCTCTGGCCCTGTCTGTATTGCTTAGAATCTTTCAGAAGCGTGCTGAAAGGGGTTTTGCTGCCCTCCCCAATTTCCTGTTATCTGACGTATCTTAAACTCCCTCCCAGGGGTCAGGATGGTGCAAGGACACTCACCCCAGGCCACCCAGCCCAGAGTTCAGGGCGCAAGCAGGCCCAATTCCCCGAAGCTGGTGGAGCACGACAGGAAACCGGAAAGTTCTGGTTCTGTGTTTTTGATTATTGTCTGAAAAGCTTCTTTCAGAAGCAGATTCTCTGGGCTCCATTCGTGGTGGCGGCTCCAGAGGGCTCCAGCCATGCTGGCCTGGTGGCAGTGAAAATACACTTGCACACCCAGTGACCTCAGGGGGCGCTCTGGCAGAGGGGGCCTGCTCAGCGCCGGCGCCACAGGCTTGGGTTCTCACACAAGCGGCAAGGGCAAAGGGGGTGATGGGCCCCAGCAGGTCTGGTCCCACGCCTGAGATGCCACAATGCACCCTCCTTGTGCTCTCAGGGACGCGGCCCGGATCCAGGGAGACAGCAGAAGCAGTGGGGGTAGCTGGTGGGTGCTCAGTTGCTCTGCTCCCCCAGCCTTCAGCGGGCCTGTGGCGACAGAGTTGGAGGTGGCAGCTGGAGCGTGGGGATGGCCTGTCTCGGTGGCTGAGGACGACCTAAGGCACTCAGGGCTGCACGATGGTACGGCTGGCCAGGACTGTATGTTTGACTGGTTCTTCTCACCTTAGTTTCTTCTTGGGATGAGAGAATTCCTCTCCCTCTGTTTGGGGTTCCCCACGCTCTGTTACGTTGAATTCTAAGTTGACTATCTCAGGGAGCCCCTGTAGCCAGCTATTTATCTATCTACCATCTTTGCTCTGCCCCCCCCCCACCCTTTAAGTATTTTCAATAAAATATTTTTAGTACTATTGAAACTGGTATTTTGAAATTGTGTCATAGAAGTTAAACATAATGAAGGACAGATAATTAGGCTGGTATCATTATGAACCAAGACTTACTATAAGTCAGAAAAAATAAAAATACAAGATCAAGAAAGTAAATATTTGATAATCTCGAATGTGAATTACAAATTTTTAGTATAATCTCACCCTAATCTTTAGTATCAGGCATTTCAGTGTTTACTTTGGATCAGTGCTCTACATCAGACTACCAAACGTGACAAAGATACTGGGTTTGTCAAAATGGCTCAAAATGAAAGAGCATCTCAATAACCAAATACAGAATAACTTTCACATCAATGAAAATAAAACTATAATGGATCACAACACATCTAATATTTTAAAATCCAGCGATTCATTAAGGCATGTATAGAGTTCACTGGTTACGGGGATGGATGATATGAAATCACTCATTATTGAAAGCTGCGATTAAAAAAAGGAAAAATCAAATACCCATTCTGTCCCTATACAATATACAATATACTTTTATAAAAGTAAATAAAGTGATGGAAATGGAAAATTTTCTTTTCAAAATACTGTTATAGTTAACAAATGATTCAGAGGTAACAAGGTAACTGCTGTCCCTAAGAAAACAATTTAGGCAATGACTGTTAATGATGCATAGTCACAGAAAGAAGAGCAGGGTGCTGTATTATTGCCTCCTGATGGGAGATCACAATACTGTCTATGAAGTAGTCTTGACAAAAAGAAGGGAAGCCTACAAATTAAAAGAAAGCAAGTTTGGTATATGAATTTTACTTATTAGAACAAAATGTGATTTAAAAAAAAAAGATATTTTTGGGTAACTGGGAAAATCTGCACTCTAGCTGTTTTAGGACTGCTTTAGGAAGGCCTGCAGGATGGCCCCAGTGCTCTCATCCCCTGGTATTTAGGTCTTTGGGTAATGCCCTCCTTGAGTGTGGGTTGGACCTATTCCTGAGATACTGTGATGAATACAGTAACTTGTCTTGTCAGCGTGCCCCTTCTTGCCTTCTTGTGCTTGCTCTGATGAGCAAATGGCCATACTGTGAGCTATATTGCAGGGATCACTTAGTAAGGAACTGGGAGTAACTTCTGGTCAACACCAAGCAAGGAACTGACTTCCTCAGTCCAGCAACTCATAAATTCTGCCAACAACAAAGAACCAATTTTTGCCAAACTACCCTTGAGACCACTGCAATTCCTAGTCATACCTTTACTGAAGCTTTCCGGCAAGATGCGTTTGCCAAAGAACCAGCTATAACATACTTAAACCCTGACCCACAGCAAGAGAGATAACTATTAAGTTACTAAATTTTGAGATAAATGGTTTTACAGCAAAGCACAATACAACAACTTCAAGGGCTTATTATATTTTTAGGTATGCAAATAGTGTTGTGGTCATGTTTATAAAAAATATCTTTACCTTTTAAATAAATATACTGAAATATTCAAGGATGATATAATGAATGCAATTTACATCAAAATAAATTTAGTAGCTGGGTGAGTGGGGAATGAGAAGGAAATATGTGAAATAAATGTGTCCCTGAGTTTTTAACAATGTGATGGATATACGGAGTTTTGTCAAACTATGCCATTTTCACCTAAATTTGAAATTTCACGATAATTTTTTTAAAGAACAGAGGGTAAAATAATAAGCCAAAGTGTAAACAATATTACCGTAACAAATGAACAAAAACAATTACTGAACAATTTTTGTTACTAAAGATATACATTCACTTACCTTAATCCCTGCAAGAACAAGATTCTTTGCTATGAAGGAAAAAGAGAAAGAAATATAAAGAATTCATATTTTATTATGGACCTTAGTCACATCTGACTGGATATATTTTTTTAACTTCTCAAGAAATATAAATTATTTGTAAATAAAAACACTAGAAAATATAGACTAACATAAAAGCAATAGGCAGAAGCCAGTGTGTCCTCTCTTACCTTAAACCTTCAAAATCAAGAAGCAGCCAATTTGCCTTTTTAGTAAGCCATGCAAGCCAAAGAATAGAAAAGTCAGATGGACCCTTGTGAGAGCTAAGAAGGCTGAGAATCTAGACTCCCCTACCCTTAAGCAAGGGAGGACAGGCTGAGTTGATAGCAACTGAGGTACAAAAACAAATGAATGTTTGCAATGTTTGATTGACTTTGCAGCCCTGGGACCCAAAGTCTGAGAATCCATTAGGAGGACAACAGTATGAAATATAGCAAATATGAGGATTCTTCTTGTCTTGTTTTTGAAATTCAGTATTCTTTTCACTGTTTTTGCTTTGTTCCAATTTACTGTTTTGTTTTATTCAAAATGTTCTGATTGGTTTTATTGTTTTATTTGATTTTATAATGTATGATGGAATGGACAACTATTGTGAAGACAAGATATACTATAGTAGCCATTGTTAATCCTGCTTCAAAATTCTGTACCATTTTCACTGCTTTGTTTTGATTGGTTTTATTGTTTTGTTTCATTGGGTTTTATTATCTTTAAAATAAAAAAGGAATAGAATTCATATATAAAATAAAAAATAAAATTTTATATGTAAAATTTAAAAGGGATAAAATTTTATATCAGAGATGACACTCCTAAAATTTTAAGGTATTCTTCCAAACATGTTTTTTTGAACACATGTATGTGTGCTATCATAATGAATAGATATACAGAAAAATCTTAACAGAATTAACAGCATAAAAATAAAAGCAATGAGTTACTAGTTTCATGTGGAAGAACATAGTAGTGTCATGTAATAGTCTTGGCAAAAAAATACAAGCTAAATCTGAACAACGTTGTGTATCTAATTCCTGAAATTCTTTAAATCATTTGTGTCACTCAAATGCCATATAAAATAATGAACAAAAGTACTACTCACCAATTTCCACTCCAAGCCCACCCACACCACTTAGGAACACATGGGCCTTGGCCATCTTCTGCATTGCTGTGTCTCCGAGGACATACCTCTGTCGACTACACGGAAAACACAATGAATAACAGAAATACTGTTTTACCACATTATGTACACCTTAAATTTGTTTGCAAACTAACAGCATAAGCCTAGATAGACATTAAATTGATCTTGCTAGATTTGTTTGGGATGATCTGAAGTGTTTAAAACTTTCTAAACACACAACAAATTTTGAAAACTTTGATAATTTGGCAGTAAGATCAACATCTCTTCAAGGCAACAAATAGAATTGGGTGGGAGTTGCTCTCTTTGGATAGGGCAGATGCACGTGTGAGGTGCGCTGCAGTTTCCCCCTTGCTGCTGCTCTCACTCACGGGCTTAGAAGTTGTGCAGACAGTACAATTTATCTCCTCTTATAATGGGAAGCTTGACGCTATTTCCACCCTTAATGATCCCAATGGGTTCTTATTAGGCTTATTTGAAAGATCTAGTATACACAGTAATTTCAAAAACCCTTGGGTAATACTTACTTTTGGAATTAAAACACATAACATACATTTGCTTAAAAAATAAATACTTGTGTTTGGTGTGGTGGTGCATGCCTATAATCCCAGCACTCAGGAGGCTGAGGCAGGAGGATTGCCATGAGTCTGAGAAAAAAAACCAAACTTCTTTTCAACCAGTATCTAAAGTCTGTTTTTGAACTTAAAAATACACATATTGAATATCTATTACAGGATGTATGTTTCTTAGATAATCTTATTACCAATATTTGTGTACTCCTAAATAATAACCTTAAGTTTTGCCTCCTTTCCAACTTTATATAAATGAGATCACTTTGAATGTCTTCCTTTTTTTGAAAAAAGAACCAGGGATTGAAAACATGACCTCGAGCCTGCCAGGAAGGCACCTGTGCCCCTGAGCTAAATCCCTGGCTCTGAATGTCTTCTTTTGAATTTGTAGATTCATTTATTCTGATGGCTGCAACTGGCCAGCAATTTTTACTCTGCTCTAGTCTACTGTACTAGAGTAGTTAATTGTAATAACATACCATCATTTAGCTATTCTACTGGTTTGAACAGTTACCAATAAGCAGACTATAAGCAGCCTTGTAAACGCATTCTGGCGCACATTTGCAGTTGTTTCTCTAGTGTACACTCAGGAGGGAAGTGGAGGCCTAAAAAGCACAGACAAGTTTACCTTTATTAGAACATGCCAAACTGCTCTCCCAAACACAGGTACTAAATTACCCCTTTTTGTACTGTGTTAGAGCCCCTGTAGTTTCATATTGCTGTTTAGACATGATTTTCCAAGGATATACATACAGGGCTACTCTCTGAGTGGTATTAATCAATTTGATTCTGCAAGCATTTTCTACACTACTCAAGTATCCTTCCACATTTTATTTAACTGAAACAAAAATTCTCAGAGTTCCTATAATACAAACATTTTATTAAGAGCACCCCAAATTTTATCAGTACTTTATTTTCCACTTTAACTGTTTTATGACTTACGTGTTAATCCAAATTGTATGTTAAAAATTCTGAGGAATTTTTTGTTTATTTTCTGTTCTAGCATAAATGTACTGTGAAAAGATACACGATCTGTGTGATTTCATTTTAAAATATTTGAAGTTTTTGGTCAATTTTATAAACACTGTATTTTTTAAAAGAATGTGCATTTTATGTTTGTTTGAATATGTGCATCAGGTTAATTTTATAATCAAGCAGATAAAACCTTCTGTAGCTGTTGTATTTTTCCTTTGTAGTAACTGTTTTTTATTAATGTACTGGCACAGGTGTGTGATATATAGTGGCTTCAGGGTGGGTACCTGGTACATAAACATGAATTAATGAGCAGACTATCACCATTCACAGGATGAACATCACAGGCAGAAGCAATGAGAGTTATTACTAGTTCCAAGAGGAAGAACCATGTTAGTTTCATTCTTTTTAAGGTTCCTGTCCCCTTTAATTCTTGGTCCCTTCCTGTCTGGAATGAATCTATCTCCCTGGGTCCTTTTATTTATCTTTTATTTTGTTCTTTATTTATACTCTGGATTTTTCACTAGAGAAACCATACAGTACTTAAGTTTGTGTGTTTGACTTATTTCACTTAAATTCGTATTTTCAAGGTGTCTCCACTTTGCTACAAATGGTTCGATTATGGCACCATAATATTGTACATGTATAAACACCACATTTTCTTTATCCATTCATCTGCTGATGTGTTCGTTTGATCAACAAGCAACATTTCAAAAAACTGACATTCTGGTGTTCTATTCTCCTTAGGTCTCACTACTTAAATAGTGCCTGGCATAGCAATACAGTAATATCTAACCCTACTTTTATTATGTAGCTTATTTACTTTTAAATGCTATACTTGTATTCACTTATTTAATCCTTACAAAAGCTGAAATAATTTGTATTATTATTTCCATCTTTATAAATAGGAAACTTAAGCACACAGAAGTAACTTGCAAGAAATGGATGTAAGGTTTAACAAAGGCGGGGACCAGGGACTTAGCTCAGCAGCATAAGCGCCTGCCTGGCAAGCGCAAGGTCATAGTTTGACCCCCAATATGAATACATAAATAAATAAAATTTGCAAATAAAGCAAACATTTATTTAAAAAAATTTAACAATGGCAAATCAGGCTTACTGCTGCCATCTCTTAAGCACCGTGCAGATGTACAGCCAAATTGAGGAAGTCAAATCATTTCATAAGGTTTGGGGTTGGGGTGTGGAACCTCAAACCCAAGAATAAGTCTTCTTTATCCAAAGGTCTGCCATTCCCAATTCTTAATTATATGTTAAAACTACCTTATTTTTCCAGTTTTGTTAACTTTTTACTATAAAAAGTGAATTATGCTCTGAAGTTAAGTCTGATATAATAAAACCCTTGGGGTTGCTTCCTTCACTTACAATGAAGCCTAAACTGTTTAAGAGTAGACCTTCCTAAAAGCCCTAGTCTTTTCCCTTGTCCCCCTCCATCAAGCTCCATGCTTCTGCTATACTAAAGGTTTCCATATTTCCCAAATGTGCTATTAGTAGTTAGAAACAAAGGAGCTAATCTCTTCACTCCACTTATCTGTAAATAGTATACTACAGTTATTCCTGTTTCCATTATCTTCAGAGAGAAAGAAAATAGTGTGCTGTAATAAATACTGTGACATAAAAAGCCTATGAGATCGTCATCTCCTAGGTGCCAGTGAGAGATTCAGTGGGTGGCACCAAAAGCAGAGGTATCTGGTCTTTCAACTATGAAAGCCTGAGTTACTGGCCCCTTTTCTGCTGCTGTTGCTACCTTTTCTGTAATCTTCAATAAGCACAGCTATTTACTACTAGTAGGTGCACACTTCCAAGTTTTTCATTGCACACAAGAACCTGGACCATTATTGGTCCATTCAACTGTAACAGTATGTTCTAATTTACTGCTGGATTTTGTGTGGAGTATTTTTCTTCCCCAACAATCTATGCTTCAATGGGCTCAACTTACACATTACTTTCACCTAGGAGAGCCTTTCTTGATTCCTCTATCCTTTCTTACCATGGGGTGGACCACTTTTATGTGCATCCCTAACACTCTATATTCAATTTATCACAATGATTGTAACTAGGCTTTTACTACTTGTTTTTCCTAGGTGTTTACAGATTCCCTAAAGCGAGGCCTTTCCCTTGTGCACTTATTTACTCAGTGACCTAAGGTCCTAGTACAGATGTATAAAAACAATTTGCTAATTCATTGAAAGAAATGAACTGGTACATAAAAATTTATCTCTACTAAGCAAAGGACTCCAATTTTTTTCTTATTGTCACAGTCACAAGACCTATGTGAAAATGTTTTTCATCTTGGTCTTGCTTTTCTTGGAAGTTATTTTTAAGATTAGTTATGCAAATAATGAATAACCATGTTATGAATGTGGTTATAAATTTAAAAAAGATGAATAAAACTTATATATGAACCAAAGTTATCCGAAGAATCACAAAATTCAGACTCTGAGCAATCATCTAAATCATATACTATTCCATGTTCAGTCAGTAGCAGCAAGGGTACTATTCATTTATTTATTTTTTTTCTTTTTCTTGGTACTGGGAATCAAACTTTTTTGCTTGCCAGGCAGGGGCTGTGCCACTGGGCTTACCTCCAGCCCTAAGGGTACTATTCAAGTGCCTACTTTGTACAAGATAGTAAGTCAGGTACACTTAGCAACACAATGACAGTTAAATGCTATGAAGTTCATATTGTTGGTAAGTAGCAGACGTGGGATCTAAGGAGCTGAGTGTGCACTGGAGGCCCTGCACTGTTACGTTACAGCTGGCCCCATTAAGTAGGCATGTTACATGTCAGATAATACACCAAGTAACAAGAAATCACCAAGACTGCCAACTTACTTTTAGAGTCCTAGCTATTTAAATTTTTCTAATTTACCAGGAAACAATACTATCCTAGTTTTCTCTTACGACGTCTAATTTTACCTTCTTGGACCCATAGCACTGTAGTTCCACTCTGATGGGACAACCCTTCACACACTGGAAGATGATATTCAGGTCCCAGAGTTGTCTTTCTCTGATGAACCTAATTCCGTAATTTCAAGCATGACATCATTTTGAGTCCCTTTCAATCCAATCAATCTCTTCTACATGCACTTCAATTACTTTCCTTATGCACACACACATTTATTAAAATATTGATTTAGAGTCAGGTACTAGCTGGAGTCCACTGTGTAGAAATCAAAACATTAACAATTTCATATGGGTAAGATGAGGATTACATATTAAATAAGACAAAACATAAAGTAACAGTATGAGCTACACTGCTTGGGAGAGGCAAATTATGAAATAATTCTACAAGACTATTGTAGATAGAAGTACTAGACAGATATAAGATAGAAGTACTAGTCATTGAGAATCTGGTACAAAGAAGTGATTATCTCTAATAGTGGAAGGAATGGAAATTTTTAAAAATGAGGTTTATCCAAGGTGAATTCTTAAAAATAAAGATTATTTCAAAGATTAATCAAGAAAGGAAGGAGATACATTCTAGAGATCTAGACCAGGTTAAAAGAGGTATGAGAAATAGCAGCTTACAAAAGGCACATGATATATACATAAGACTTCTTCTCCTGGACCACAGTGAACAAATAGGGACCAGACATACTCTCCTGCCTAAGACAGTTGAAAACTGGGCAAAATAAAAAAATAAAACCAAACATGTAGAGATATGGTTTGTAGACAAGAAAAGAACAGAATAAGAGCCTCGTTAGACTTCGTTAGGAAATTAAAAAATTTTACTAAAAGTGGCTTTTGCTTCTGCAGTTTGTTTCACTGGCTTACGCCAGATACAGAAAAGCACCAGACTGCACAATGGCCTAAGAATTTACAACAAAGGGAGGAGTGTTCTCTAATGAAGAGATTAACCAAAGAAAGCTGATAGGCAAAGCAGAGAGGAATACAAGAACAGAGGAACACAGGTAAGAAACCCCTCCCATCTCCAATAAAATGGAAAAGGGGTAGCTATCAAACTTAAAAGAAACTTATTTCATATAAAAAACACATCTATGCATATGTACACACACCTATGAATATATTTGTATGTTTTCACTCTATGGCTACTATACTAGACACATACACAGCCACTTAATCACTAACTCTAATCCTGAGTTTCCCATCGGCTCCTCCTCACAAACCCATAATTCCTAGAGATAAGGCCATAACAAGGACAAACAGGTAGAACAAAGTCAAACAAAGTCCTCCAAAAGGCATGTACACATACATAACAGTAACCAGGTTATGGTCTTGTGGTCTGGGATCCATCCAAAGACAGCCCAGGGAATTAATTGGATTATAGGCTGCAGATAAAGCAGGATGCAGAAGGTAACTATTAGCATGCCAAGGTAACAGTCATATACAACACAACCATATCACCAACAAACTGAGAATATAAACCAGTAACTGTGGCTTGTGTAAGCACAATCTCTGTGACATTTTTAAATAATCAAATAGCCTCATGACTTCTCAGATTGTATTCCTATTCTTAAGGAATGCATGACTATAAGAAAGTTCTCACAAATTAGTCATCTCAAATTATACCTTAGGAAAATAAGTTTTGAGAAATCCAAAAAAGGTTAAGAACGGAAACCACTAGGATATAAAATGGAAAAGCAACTTTGGGGGGGGGGGGAGGAATCAATGAAACCAAAACCTGGTTCTTTGAGAAAACAGTAACTGATAAACTTCTAGCTAGAAAGATCCAGAAAAGGAGAACAGAAAAATTACCTCTTACAACTCACCAATACTCTGATAACAAAACTAGAGAAAAATCACTAAAGGAATGCTTCACACCAACACCCTTCACATGCATACACATAAACTTTCCTAAAACACTGACAGATGCATATACACATGTACAAGAAACACCATGAGTACTACCATCTGAATGTGTTACCCTAAAATTCATAAGGAAACTTAGTCTTGAACGAGAGTAGTAAGAGGTAGGCCCTTTGGGGAAGTGACCTCATGAGTGCAATCAGTGACCCTCTGTAACAGACCTGCAGGACTACTTCCTTAGCCATGTGATCAGGCAGAAAGATGCTGCTTTCCCTGAAGCAGAGAGCTTCTTCTTGGGTAAAACCACTTTACTCATTGTCTTAGTTTGTGCAGTCTGCTATAACAAAATCACTTTATACTGGGTATTTTATAAATTATAGAAATCTCTTGCTTCCAAGTTGTGGAGTTGAGAAGTCTAAGATTGTAGTAGATTGGGATTTGGTGTAGGATTGCTCTCTGCTTCAGGGATAGCACCATCTTGGATTTCTAATCTGTTTTATATTGAGTGTCTTTCAGTCACGTCTTTCTTAGATAACAAATGGCATGTAGTATCTAAGATAAATCACTGCCCCAAATCCTGAAAATAACATTGGTCCTCACTAGGCAGTAAATAAAATTGGCTAATATGATTTCAAGGAATTGACAGTTTTTGAGTTCAAGAACACCACAATTAAACAATTTTACAACTCTTTGAAGTATATTTTATAGTCAGGTGATTATAAGGAAATACTTTCCATATAAACAAGATTAAATGTTAGCTCCCCAGCCTTCTATCTCTCTTTTTTTTTTTTTCCAGGTATATTATGGAAAACAGGATTTGGAATCAAAATACCAGGTGATATATATTAGATCACAATGAAGTGTTCATAACTGACTTATATCCTCATAAAAAGTATAAAGAGGAATTCCACATACATGAAGCTATTCTTCTAAATTCTACCTACATATTTTTCCATGTTTACATACAGAGAAAATAATAATTTTTAACCTGCCCTTGAGCTAACTATGTAGTCCAGGTTAGTCTCAAGCTCATGGAAATTCTCCTGCATTAGCCTCCTGAGTGCTGGGATTACAGGCACGCACTTCCCTGACCAGAAAGAACTTTTAAAAACTCTAAGACATTCTTAGGAATGATATCAATAGGATTTTAATTTTTCTTTAATTATTGAAAAAATACTTTGCTGCCATGAAAAAATATGGTTAAAATAATCTCATTTAGTTCCATTCAAATCACAACTCTTTGGTCATAACATTCTCTACCATCTATAAATTATAAAGATGCAACATTTTATTAAAATTACACTGAAATACTCACATTCTTTGGGTGCTACTGTATAAGAAGGGTGAAATGGACTATTTATTCTTCATCCAAGCCCCACATTATCAAAAACTATTTTTGTCCAGTCTTGTAGTGGACAGCAAAATCCTTATTGAACTTATCATTTAATCTAAAAGAACTGAGATTTACTTGAGATTAAACTTTCAGACTATAAATACGCAAAAATAAATCACAGAAACCTTAAATTAACTTGAGAGAAACACAATATATGTGTGCACATATATAAACACATACATATATAGGAATAAAATTATGTATAGGCTTAATAGTATCCTCAAACAGATCACTTAAATCTCAGTCTTCATGACATTCTTACCTATACAATGCATCATCAATCTCCACAGATTCTGCTGACATGATGGGCAAAGTTTTACTTGCACTGGGGAGGAAAAAAAAAAAAAAATCAAAGATTAAGTGCAAGTATAGTTATTTTTCACATTACGCATCATAACATTTAATTATAAATGGGCCTAGATTCACATGTTATTAAAGATTTTTACAATGCTATATATACTTTATCATCATTTTAGATTTTTAAAAATGTGTTGAAACTCAGTTCACTAATGCTTGTTTAGTTCACTAATGCTTGTTTGGTCCTATGTGTCTTGCAGATTATAGAACCTGCTTGTTTTAATTTCAGGTGTTGTTTTCATTATGATTCATTGCTGTTCATTCTGATGAACCTTTTCTACACATTAACTCATTCAGTTCCAGGATTTACCATATACTAATGAACTCTAATTTTGTTTTATTATATGTGATCCCTCCTGATCTCCAGATTTGATACACCCACACAAACAGTAACTCATCTTTAAGCCTAACTGGTATCACAAACATAAGCCAAAACAGATTTTTTTTTTGTATTTTTACCAGTACCAGGGATCGAACTCACGACCACACGCTTGCAAGGCAGGCGCTTATGCTGCTGAGCTAAATCCCCAGCCCCGCCAAAACAGATTTTAATTCTCGTTGTCTTTATTATAGTCATAAAGGAAGCATTTTTTTTTAACAAATTAACTGTTGAGTGCATTTTAGAATTTTAAAAATAAATTTTAACTAGTAAGAGAACATACCCTTACTGTAGTAATGTATTATTCACAGCAGTGGGCCCCAATTTTTTTAATAGCACTGCAAAGAAAAATGATATTTGTAGGAAAAATGGAAGTGGAGATTCAAAGGTAATGAGAACTAGCCTGGGGCATTTGTGTGCCAGCCACTGACAGTTGAAGTCACTATCATCCTGGGGAAACCACAATCTATACCAATCTGAGATGCTTTACTGTCACTTAAGGATTCAAAAAACAGTAGGACAGTATGAAATTCAAAACTGGAGTCTAATTTTCTAAGCCTGCCATTGATAAACAAACCACGGGATTTGTAAATTAGATGATAAAAATGTTACCAATTATCTTAGCACACTGATTAAGCCATCAATGGTATTAACATCGAGCTATTTGAATACATAACGACTATAAAAACCCTTGATTGCAATTATGAAAACAAACCAGAAGTCAACAGCACACACACACACACACACATCCTGTTTTGGTACTGTAGCAAAATACAAACAAAATTTAGTATTTATAGTATTCCTACTTCACTTTTTTTACTTGTCATCTTCCTTATGTGGGACAATTAAACGGATACAGCTCTTGAGTAAATACTGGAAGAGCTCCATTCTCACCAGCTTTGTTACCGGACAGTATGACACTTCTCAGAAAGTTCTGTTTCACTGAAAGTTTCAAGAATATTTAAAAAAAAATAAGGCTGATGAGAGATAAGCGCTTCGAATAAGGGGCGGTTTCATTCGTACCACACAGCACCACCCAAGAAATCTGGCCGTGTCGGCCAAGGTCGACGGCAGCAGGGTACTGGGGAGTAAAACACTCCCTCGCTCTGAGCAGGTGGCTGAGCAGCTCCAGGTGCATCGGCAGCCCCTCCTCGGCTGGAAACGACCCACCCGCCGCTTCTGGACTTGGTACCCGCCTCAGACTGTGGCGGGACACAGTAGCTGCAGAAGAAGGTGCTGCTGCTCGCTGAGGTCTGGCCACCTGTACCCCGGCTCTGCAAAGGCAGCGAAGCCGGGAGAGCCTGCACGGGACCGGGCGGCGGCACAGCAGGAAGCTCGGGGCCGCTCGGGACAACGCCGAAAGCCGGGCCGCGCGGAGGCCTCAGAACCCGCGCCCGCGCCGCCACGCCCACCACGCGCCCGGCGCCCGGGCCTGCTGCCGCGGCCCTTACCTGTTGGTGCCCCAGGAAGAGCAGGACGCCTGCAGGCGGGGCGCAGCCTCCAGGCCTGCCTCCATAGTCGCCGAGATGCTGCCGTTACCACCGCTGCTATCGCCGTCGCCGCCCGTTACAGAGAGACAGGGAGGGGGTCGGCCTCGGGGAGGGTTAAAGGGCAGGAGGTGACGTCACCGGTGGGCTGGGCTGGGCTGCAGGGTTGGCCGCCTTTTCCGTCAGCCTTCGGGGCGGGCTTCCGGTGTGGGCGTGGCCATCGGCTTCTGCTCAGGTGAGGAAGTGGCGGAGCTGAGGCGGGGCTGAGGCGGGGCTGGCGCGGGAGGGAAAGGCGGCGCCCAGCTGCGCGGAACCCCTGGCTCTGGCCGCGGAGCACGCGGGAGGCTAAAGGGGCGCAACGCGAGGGACTGAGTCGCAAATCCTTAGAGCCTTAAAGCGACTAAAGGAACCCCTTTCATTTTATAAGTAAAACCGAAGGCTGGCAGGGATTCCATGTAACAGGTATTACTGGGCATCTGTGAGGCGTTGATCTGTTTTAATAGAATTTTCAAATTTTTATTCTATTTTTTGGAGCCATGAAATTTGCCTCGTTAGGGCCGAGGGAGTGGAGCTTCATGGATCAGTTGCAGACTGCAGAACGCTCGTCTGATTCTCTTTGCCTTGACTGCCGGGTCGCCTTTTTTTTTGAAAGAAAATTAGTTGATCCCAATAGCATGAGAATTTGTTTTTCATGCTAACTATACTTGAAGAAATATTGCAAGATTTTAAAATGTACTTTGGATAGAATTTTTTGTAATATTTGTTTAAGTATTTAATGTTTTAACTAAATTAGAATTTCTTTCTCGTGTGAAGATGAGAGTCTGTTACAGGCTCTTGCATAGGATTTGAGAATTGCCAAGCCTACGTCGACGTAAGTGGCTATATTTATTGAAGGCCATGGCAGGAGTGGGAACAGGCAGAAAGAAAAGGAACTCTCCATGAGCCTTAATACAACTCACGCCTTCAGTATGAAAGGCTCAGACACCTCAAACTCCAGGTGCCCCCCTTTTCCGTTAGACGCCTCGGACTCCAAGCTTTCACTGGTGTGGAGCTGGTGATTGCTGCCTGCCCATCCCGACCTCCTACAGAGTGGTGCCCCCTGTGCCTCTGAGTGAAGGAATGGAAGCGGTTCGCTCAGATCCTCAGGAATCCGTTTCTAAGTGTATCAGGCCCATGACCTTTTGTGCTTCTCCCTTACGTTTTCAAGATTGCACATCTCAGAAAACTTGGAAGCTTCACGTTGCTTATCTGTAGTCTGCCAATCTGGGGTAGGTTGCTTATCTGGCATTGGGCTCACCTATGAGGCAGATTCTTGTTTTATTTTCTGAATTGGTAACACTTTGACATTTTAGTAATGAACAACTTTAAGTGATAATACACAGTTGTATATATAATGTAGATCCTTATGTGTGTGTCTATATATATATGTATATGCTCATGTACACACAAACGTGCTCATAAGTCAAATTGTGTCAAAGAAGTATATTTAAATTTTCTTAATTGTATATTGTACAAAAACCTCTCAGGCAACCTGAAAAACTGAAGACATTGTGAAAAAACACCACCACTACCAAGAATACTACTACCATGGCCTTAGCAGCAGGAGAGTGCCTGGGGCAAAGCACAGAAAGAGAGTTGCTATTATGGATGATACAACCAGATCCTGAAGCCTGCTGGGAAGCACTGCTAGACAGAGGGTAGGGCCTAGATTAAATCTCAGAAACAAACCACATCAGAATAGGTGGTGAGGAAGGCTGGGAGTGGAAAAAGAAAAGATAAGAATTAGAAATGCCCTATTAATTAAATTCTAGTGCTTGGGAAAGATTCAAAGACATACAAACAGTGGGATCATAGAAGTAGTGGGGTGGAGAGCAGAGAAAGGGAGAAAGAGAGAGAATCACAATTTCCTGCTATTAACAAGCCAAATTGGGTCGGAGATTTAGCTCAGTAGTTTAAGCCTGGTAAGCACAAAATTGTAAGTTCTATACCTGGTACGCACCCCCCCACACACACACACACAAAGAAAGTCAAATTGCTACTGAGTCTTGGACTTTCACACACACAAAATCCTAAAAAGCTAAAATGGAAAACAAAATAGGCAGCACCAGAGGTTAGAGTCTGTTTAATCCTAATTCACATCTTCCTCACTCTCTAAATTAACTGGCATAGGAAATGACTTTGGATTATAACCTGTCTTTTTAAGGTTCTACTCTAGAACTGGGTTTACCCCATCCTTTCTGTTTATTCTAAAGTAAGCAACTATAAATATTTTGACTGACTGCCCCCACAGATACTGTCAGTTTCTCTGCCTCCTTTCCCCTGATTTCTCTTCCTTGTTTCTTCCTAAATATTTATGGAATGCTTAAGAAATGTTAGGGGCTAATGCATGGTAATCATGCAATAAAGATAATACACCCTGATTTCATCAATCTTATTATGGGAAGCCAAAAATAGTAAATAAAAAAAGATTTAAAAAATTGTTAGCATGATGATGAAAATAGCAGAAGACAAAGAGGTTAAAAGAGATGAGGGAAGAGGAGAGAGAAAGTTTCAGATCAAGGGACCTCTTTGAGAAAATGGTATTGAGCCAAACCAAATTCCAGAAGACTACCTGGAAATCTTTCCTTGCAAGAAGAACATTTGGTCCTACTTCCCTGTATTGATATGTATAGAGCTGGCTAGGATGTTACTTTATACTCTGTTATGATTTGTGTTTGGATGTCCCTCCCCTCCAAAGCCTCTTACAGTCATGGAGGCAGCTGTATCTAGTGTTTGCAATTGGTTTTTGTGTAGTGCTGGGATTGGTGGTGTGAATGCTGCACCCACACCAGAGTGGATAGCTGCATAGAATATCAGGGAGGGAAGGAGATGTGCTTTCTCCCTTTTTTGCCCTTTTCTCTCTTGTCACTTGTGGCCACCATGAATGTCTGCTCCCTAGTCACACCACCCTGTCTTGGAACCAGCTAAGTATGGACCGAAACCTCCAAAAACTAAGCTAAATAAACCTTTCCTTCCTTCATTTTTGGGTGTTGGGTATTTTGTCCCAGCAATGAGATAAAAATAACCAAAACACCCCCTAAATTGGCTTTAAGCAATGTAAATGATTCTAGCTTAGGTGCCTAATGTATTGTCTTGAAAGCAATGCAACAGATCAGTAATGCTCTGTCTGTAACTCCCAAATAGCATATGTGAGCTAGGCCAAGTGACACCATGCTGCCAGCTGAGACTGAGCCTTGAGAAACAGGCTGTGACATTGTAGGACTTGAAGATTACATGTCAAAGGTGAAGCCCAACTTGTAACTTGAGATACTCAATTTGTGATATGCAGATTACTCTTTCTTTCTCTGTCTCTGTCTCTCTGCATATTGCAGAGGTTTTACCAGGCCTCCTACCTAGCCTAGCTCACAGCTTTTGTGTTTTTCCCACTATTCTCTCAGTCACTCATCCCTGAGCCACTCCTCTCTTCATGAATTAATAAAACCTGGCTTTGGCCCTGGGTCGAGTCCTTTGTTTCAGTTAGCCATTGTTCTAACTGGATTTAGGACCTCCTTTGCTCTCCATAACTACAAATATGCTTTAGTGTCTTTAGTCTCACTGTGGAAGTGTAGATTGACATTACTTGGAATTCCAAAAACTTTTCCCTGAGATTACATTATGGACTCCTCCAGACCATGACGAGATCCAGAAGGGCTTCCTATATTAAATGATGTGAGCCATGTGAAATTCTAGTAGAATTCTACAGAATTTTAGGGGAAAAAGCAAATGCAACATTCTTTTTGTTTTTAAAAAATATTTATTACCTTCCTATTAGCACATATTTGTTTATTTGTATATTGCCTTGCTCCCTTTCAGAAGAGTGGCTTTTCATGGGGAAAGAGACTCAGAGTGTAAAGGGGATTCCATGTGAGAGAGATTCTCCACTCTTGGCTTCAAATAGATAAAAAGATAACATACAGTACAGTAGCAAGGCACACAAATGGTCTTTAGGAGGTAGATGACCTCTGGCTAATAGCTGAAAAAGAAATAGGAATCTTGGCCTACAGCTACAAGAAATTAAATTTGTTAACATCATGCATATGCTTGAAGAAAACTGTTGTCCCAGAGGTAACACAGTTCATTGCTGTTTGATTTTAGCCTTATGAGATGATGAGCAGAGTCCAGCTCAATTTTGACCTGCAAAACTGTGGGCTAATAGATTTGCTATGCAACAGTGGGAAACAAATACACCATAAAAATATTTAAGACCAACATTTTGAGTTTTAACATTCATGAAATTGAAATATATATTTTTCTTTTTTAGCATTATAGAATATAATAAGTTTTGCATGGCTGTAATAGATGCTTGATATAATTGATTTAAATGGAGGAAAGATTTACTATGGTCACAATTTTAGAGTTTCAGTCTATGATCACTTGTACCTGTTTCTTTGTACCTGAGATGGCCCAGTACATCATGGCAAGAATACCTGGAAGAAGAGACCTGTCTGCCTCATGGCAGTTAGGGAGCAAGTTTCCCAGTATCCTGATACTTCCTCACCAACATAACAACCTCCATTTAGGCTCCCAGCTCCTAATTTTGGCCATCTCCTGTGGATGCCACAGGATGCAGATCAAGTTTTTACCACATGGTATTTATACATTGGCCTTCAGGTGATGTTTAAGATCCAGACCATTGCAAAAGATGTCTGAGATTTGATGAAATATTGTGAGTCATTTCAAACATGCTCTGTAACAAATACCCTGATTTAACAGATTTTGCCACATTCACAAAATGGGAAAAACTGGATTATCACCAGATATTTTGACAGTGAAATGTTATACTATAAGAAAGTGAAATAATATATTTAGGACATTCATTCAAAGAGGAAAATTTAAGC